ACCTTATTTTTGACAAAGGTGCTAAAAATATACAATGGAGAAAAGACAGCCTCTTCAACAAATGTTGGGAAAAGTGGTTATCCGTCTGCAAAAAACTGAAACTAGATCCATGTTTATCACCCTGTACTAGTATCAACTCAAAATGGATCAAGAACCTCAATATCAGACCCGAAACTCTAAAGTTGGTACAGGAAAGAGCAGGAAACACTCTGGAAGTAATAGGTATAGGCAAAGACTTCCTCAATAGAACCCCAGCAGCTCAGCAACTAAGAGAAAGTGTAGACAAATGGGATTTCATAAAACTAAAGCTTCTGCACAACAAAAGAAATGGTCTCTAACCTTAAGAGACCACCCACAGAGTGGGAGAAAATATTTGCCAGTTACACATCAGACAAAGGACTGATAACCAGAATACACAGGGAGCTCAAAAAACTAAACTCTCCCAAAATCAATGAACCAGTAAAGAAACTTAACAGAACTTTCTCAAAAGAAGAAATTCAGATGGCCAAAAAACACATGAAAAAATGCTCACCCTCTCTAACCATAAAGGAAATGCAAATCAAAACCATACTAAGATTCCACCTCACCCCTGTTAGAATAGCCATCATTAAAAATACCACCAACAACAGTTGTTGGCAAGAATCTGGGGAAAAAGGAACCCTCGTACACTGCTGATGGGAATGCAAACTAGTGCAACCACTCTGGAAGAAAATTTGGAGACTTCTTTAAAATCTAAACTTGGATCTGCCATATGATCCAGCAATCCCACTCCTGGGGATATACCCAAAGGAATGTGACACAGGTTACTCCAGAGGCACCTGCACACCCATGTTTATTGCAGCACTATTCACAATAGCCAAGTTATGGAAACAGCCAAGATGCCCCACTGCTGATGAATGGATCAAAAAAAATGTGGTATTTATATACAATGGAATTTTACTGAGCCATGAAGAAGAATGAAATCCTGTCATTCACAAGTAAATGGATGGAACTGGAGAACACCATTCTGAGCGAGGTTAGCCAGGCTCAGAAGACCAAAAATCGTATGTTCTCCCTCAGATGCGGACTTTAGATCTACGGTGCATACGGCAATGTGGTTGGACTTGGGTCACATGATAAGGGGAGAGCACACACGGGAGGTATGGGGATAGGTAAGAAACCCAAAACATGAAAGTATTTGATGCTCCCACTGCAGAGGAACTAATACAGAAACCTTAAAGCAACAGGTCAATATGAGAAGGGGATCAGGAACTAATGAAAAGGTCAGTTAGAGATGAATCAACTTGGGGTGTAACACATTTTGTACATGGAAGCAATGCTAGGAACCTCTCTGTATAGCTATCCTTATCTCAGCTGGCAAAAATGCTTTGTCTTTCTTATTACTGCTTATGTCTTCTCTTCAACAAAATTAGAGATAAGGGCAGAACAGATTCTGTCTGGAAGCGAGGAGGGGTGGGGGGGAGAGGGAGGGGATGGGGATTAGGGGGGAGAAATGACCCAAACAATGTTATGCACATATGAATAAACAAATAAAAATAAAGTACCCTTAAAATGTTTGTGCCCTTTGACAAAATAATTTTGTTTCCAGGAATTTAAAGAAATAATCCAAGTTATAGCTTTATGCACAAGGATGTTCATTATAATTTTATTATAGTGAAAAGCAGAAATAACTACTCAAAACAGGAGGATGTAAGTTATGGTACATCCTACATCATGGAATATTCTTTGGCCATTGAAAATGTCTACAGGGAGTTTTTAATATTGGAGGAAATGCTTATGATAAATGCTAAATAGATTCAAAATCATACAGAGAAAGAATTAACTTTATAAAGCGTGCAGGAAAATAGCTAGAAGGAAATAAACCAAATGTTTAAAAATGGCTTCTTCTTGATCATGAAATTATGGGTAATTTATTTTATGCGTTTTGAAAAAAATGGTCTATCACTCACATAGTATACAAAGACTTATTTCAGTTTACACACGTGTGTGTGTGTGTGTGTATATATATACGTGAATGTATATCTATGTATATTTTTATAAGCACATATATATACATATTTTAGTGGTACTGGGGTTCAAACTTAGTTCTTATGCTTCCTAAACAGGTGCTGTACCACTTGAGCCAGGTCCCCAGCCAAAGACATTTTATTTTATTTATTTATTTATTTATTTATTTTCCAGTTATCAGGGCCTACACCTTGAGCCACTCCACCAGCCCCTTTTTTCTTTTTTGTGATGCGTGTTTTCAAGATAAGTTCTTACAAACTATTTCCCCAGGTTGGCTTCAAACTGCGATCCTCCTGATCTCTGCCTTCTGAGTAGCTAGGATTACAGACATGAGCCACCAGCACCCGGCCAAAGACTTTATCTTAAAAGATAAAGAAAAGAAATATAATGAGAGAAAAGTGAAAGACTTCCATCCCCAAAGGTGACCACTTAACAATGTATTACCTTGCTGTTCCAAATTGTCCTATATACATGTTTATATACAGACATGTGTTTTCTTTTACCTGCAGAAGTCACACTGTAAATATTGTTCTGGAACCTTTTTTTTTTTTTTTTTTTAACTCACCTTAAAATGTCTTAAATATCATTCCACATTGGCCCATGTAGACCTCCTTCATTTGTTACAAGGCCTGCCCTTCTCGTTCCTGATACAGGTAATCCTTCATGCATCTACTCATTGCCATTCTGATGGGCCCCGGCCTGGTGTCCCCCTGACCTCTGATTGAAGCAGTGATGCAGTGACTGGGAGTGCTCATGTTTTCCTAGGATGGGGCACAGAGCAGACTTGCTGGATCGAAGATTATGAGCCTCTCCTTTTCTTTTCACCCTCTCCTCCCTTCCTTTTTAAATTTTTCTCTCTTTCCCTCTCTCTTTTTCTTCTTTCTGCTGGGGATCAAATCACAGCCTTACTTATACTGATCTACTACTCAGCTATATCCCCAGTCCAATCGTATGCATTCTTTTTTTTTTTTTTTTTGCAGCACTGGGACTTGAACTCAGGGCCTTCACCTTGAGCCACTCCACCAGCCCTTTTTTGTGAAGGATTTTTTTCAAGATAGGGTCTTGCCAACTATTTGCCCAGATTGGCTTTCAACCATGATCTTCCTGATCTCTGCCTCCTGAGTAGCAAGGATTACAGGCGTGAGCCACCGATGCCCAGCTCCATGTGCATTTCTGATTTTGATTGATAAGTCTGTATTTGTTAAGATGATATAAAATCGTCTACTGTAACCAAGATCCCACAGTAACAGAGGCTTAAATCAAGATAGTTCTTTACTCCTAACCTGATAGTCTGTGTAAGCAGTCCAGTGATCTAGGACTAATGCTAAGGTTCCAGGGCTCTCTTCTCTTCTCATTGCTGTGCTGTCTTCATCAGGTGATGTGAAATAACCACTCCCACTCTACCATTCATGTCCATTTTCTAGGAAGGAGAGAAGTTTAGGACTCATTTGTCATTTCTGTTCACATCACAAAAGTGGCCAGGACTTAATCACATTGGCCACATATAGTAGTGAAAAGCCTGAGGCAGCTTTGTGCCCAGCTAACGGAAGAAATGTCATAAGAGGACAAGAGCTCTGCACCTGACAACTACCACACATTGCTGGCGTGTTTGGATCGGCCGAGAGCAGGGGCACAAAAGTCATCACTGTGTGGGGAGGGCTGCCGGCTCTGTTTGTTACTTAGTCACGTCACCGGTTTTCCATTTGCTTATTTGCCTTTTCCCTCATTTATAGCCAGTTTCTTTCTTTCTTTTTTTTTTTTTTTTACAGTACTGGAATTTGAACTCAGGGCCTCACACTTACTAGGCAAGCTCTCTATTGCCTTATATTTTAACTTTGTTTTTGGTATCTTTTGATATATGGAGGTTACAAAATTGTATGTCATCAAACCTGTTTCTTTTGGGTTTTGGGTTTTATGACTATTATTTTTATAATTAGAAAAATAAGAATATCCAAATGAGAAAGAGAAAAGCACATGAAGCAGCAGCAGCAACAGCATAAGAACTAAATTACAGAGGTGACCTAAAACTCACACACGTTTTTGTTCTAATCTCCTCTTTAATAGGCTGTTTCCATGGGACTGTTTGAGGGGCATAGTCTTGGAAAGCTAAAAAGGATTTAGCTAGGTAGAGGAGACAAGTGCAAGTGTTCCAAATGAAAGGAATAGCATAAATTAAACCAAGGAGGCACAAATAAATGAGGCCGAAGTGGATCTGGCTGGATGAGGCGTGTGCGTTGGGAACAGTGGGCAATATCTGGACAGGTAGGCTGAGGTCGACCTTTGGAAAACAGCCAGAGGGTGACCACAGTGACTGCAAGTGAGCCGTGCGATTGGGGGAAAGATGCCAAACGCGAGAGTACATATGCTCATCTTAACAGGAAAGGTGTTTTATAGAGAAGCCAATTAACTAGCCAAAGGGAAATGGTTGAGTGAATTTGGGTCTAGTCACATGATGGTCTCTTAGCTTTGAGAACAATCATTTCTAAAGGCTGGGTAGGAAAACATGAAAATCATTTTTTAAAAAGTGATGAAAGCCACTTGCCTAACATGGGTGCCGGGATCTAACCCCAGCACCACAAAAACAAACAAAGAAACAAAGTGATTAGAATTTATGTAAAATTGTAATTGTGATTACAACTATTTAAAGAAGCATGCATATGGAAAATGACTGAAAAGGACTATCCCAAAAGTAAGAGAGGTAAGTTGTATGGTGATTATTTTCTTCTCTAAAAACTTCCTTGTTGTCATGCCTTGTTCATGATATTTTAAAGAGGCAGGTGTTAGTGTACCAGAGAGTTAGCAGAGGCTTTTCAAGGCTTCCTCGGGTGAACGGGGCCAAGGGTTGTGCATTGTTTGGGAGGTGAGAGGCTAGATCCTTGGGCATGTGTGGCCCAGGAGGAGGGGCCCCATCCCGGGCCTGGGCCTCTAAGAAAGGGTCTGCCACTTGCTGTCTGCAGTCTGAAAAGAGATAAAAGGCCTTCCTTGCCTTCCAGGGTCTCCTCATGCTGCTACAGAACCTACCTACGATACACTGGGGCAACGAAGAGATTGGGCTGCTTCTGGCCGAGGCGTACAGACTCAAGTACATGTTTGCCGATGCCCCTAATCACTACCGCCGATAGGTGCTGTCTCCCCAGGGACCCAGGCTGCCCCATCTCTGATGGCAACCTGATCACTGTGGCCACTGTGCGAGCCGTGGACTGCGGCCAGGAACCACTCCTGCTGTAAAAAGCTCACCCCCGCCGCCCAGGTCTTAACTCCATGTCTCTGGATGTGTCTCTTGGACCACTCTCAGTATTCCATGCCATGTGGATGGGTCCAGCTCTGGGAAAGACAGAATAGGAGGTACAGGGTTGTCTGCCCCTTTAAAAGAAACTGGACAAAGGAAGGGGAGCCTCAGGGTCTCAACTCACATTGTCCCTACATGGACTGGCTGGCTTTCGCCACCAGGCCCCAACTGATAACAGTTGCTTTTTTTCTTTTTTTAAACAGGAAAAACACACAAAATTTATTATATGCCTAAGGCATGGGAGTATTAGGCTCTGCTACCATTGGTTTTTTGTGACTCAGTTTAATTTGATCACAGGTCAAATATGCCTTATGTTTTCAGAAGACTCCTGGCCCACTTTCCTCTCCTGGTTTCCTAACCCCTGTCCTTCTGCCCTGTCTGAGCCAGCAGGATGGAGGAGGTAACCAGTGCTCATAACTCTGGGAAGACGCCTACACCCAAGGGCTAGGAATTTTATTTTTCCTTTTCTCACCAGATGTCTGTGTATGTGCATGTGTGAGTGTGTATGTGCACACCCATTGGTATTTCATCACGTCTGAATTTCTGTGTCCAGACTAGCCCATCAGAACCAGTTGGGAAGGACTCCAGTGACCAAGTGTATAAGCACCCCTCAAGAAGGATCAGGGCAGGGGAGGGAGAAGGGGATTTTTACTCTTCAAAGCCCTTTTCCATGATGACCCACTCCAAGATATTATGTATAAATTGTGTTACTATGTAAATGGGTAATGATGTACAATTACACAGCCTCTTTGTAGTAGATATGATTTTATATTTATAATGTGCATCAACATGTGAAAGCAATCTAGGTCCTTAGCACAGGTGACTTTGCTGGGCAGGTGGCTCTGTGCCTCCAGATTGGTTTCTGGGACGCCCTCTCTGATGGGAGAAGACTGGGAGGTGGCTGGAGTGGGTACAGCTGAGCAGGTGAGCTGCCAGCCCAAGCATCAGTGTCTCAGAGTTTTTCATTCTCCCCTTTCTTCCCACCTCTCCTTCAGCCTTTCTGGAACATTTCCTCTCGCTCTCACCTTTTCAGTGGTGGAGCTCCCACCACTCACCCCTAGCAACCTCCCCAAGAAGGGACTGCAGAGGTCGAAGCCTTCCTACAGGTTTGCTCCTGCCTTTCCCTGGAGTTGGCGGAGGGTTTAGTCTTTCCTATTTAAGTCAGCATTGAATTCAGGACAAAAGTTGTGGCTGACTAGTCAGTGCCAAGGGAAGAGGTTCCCAGTGTCTCTGGGGTGTGGGGCTCTTCTCAGCAACATTAGGTGTCCCCTGCCATCACCATCACATCCTGCACAGCTCATGTGTGACCTGTGTTTGATTCTTGGTGTTTGACAGTGGACAGTGGGAAGGTGGGAGAAAGCAGCTGTAGTCCTCTTGGAAGCCAAGCAGTGTTCCTGGAGGATGGCACCCTGAGTCTTTGACCAGGGAACCCCCACCACAGGCCGTACCACACGCTTTGAGTTAAATTCCTCATCTGGAGCTGTTTCTCAGGCGCCATCCTCACCCTCTCCTTCCCTTCGGTGTGCCTCAGTAGTGTCCTTCACAGAGGGAGGGCTCATGGCCCTCCCTCAACCAATTCAGACGAATTAAAGAAAGACACTTGTGTTCCCAAGTGGTGGTTTTATTTTTTTAGTTTTTATGTTTGTATGGGAAATTGTGGGTATGGTGAATGAGTTGTAAATAAATGGTGTATTTCCTCCTCTGTCTGCTGATTTTTCTTCCATGGATTTGTGTAACACAGAACAGAAAGTGTGTCCTTCTCTTGTTTTTTTTCTTACTGATGAGGGGGAGAGTCAAATGTGTAGAGCAAGCAGAGCATCAACAGAAGACCAAGAAGCATTTTCAGAGGCTATCCGTAAACACTGAGCCTCTGCTCTGTGAAAGGTACTGTTCAAACTACAAAATGAGTAACTGGCTCCTAATAGTAGATATTTATAGAGCACCTTACCATGCGCCAAGCGTTTTTTTTGAGACAGGGTCTCACTTTGTACCCCAATCTGTCCTTGAATGCATGATCCTCCTGCCTTAATCTCCTGAATGTTGGGATTATAGGGGTGAACCTCCATACCCAGCTGTGCCCAGCTCTGGTTAGCAAATGGAACTAGAAGCTGGTTGTGATGGCATATGGCAGGAAGATCTGCCGTTCTTGGCTACATATCAAGATCCCATCTCAAGAAAACAGGAAGGAAAGGGAGTAGAAGAAATTGTCTAGGGAGGGAAGGAAAGAAAGGAAGGGGAAGGGAAGGGAGAAAGAAGGAAGGAAGAAAATGGGCTAGAATTTCAGTGCTGAACAAAAGCCTAGACAGCCAATTTAACACCCTCATTGTTCAGAGGAAAACCCAACCCAAGGCCAAGGAAGGCACCAGCAGAGTCAGAACAGCATGCAGGCCTCATCCTGGCTTGCCTGGTTGGTGTTTTCCACCAAACCGTACAGAACTCAGGCTGGCCCTTCCGTTAGGTCTTCATTAGGCCTTTTGGTTTTGGCTGTTGAGCTCTCTTTTGGCAGCTTTCCTGTGAAGCATCTCAGGAAATGTAATTTGACTACATCGGCATTCCAAAAGTAGGCAACTCAGGGCTGGGCCACAAAATCTTAGGAAGCTGGACTCCTTCCCTAAGTCTGCATGGTGAAGATGATAACCAGCAATCCAGCTGTTTTTATATCTACTTTCCAAGCAACAGGTCAAAGGGAACAAAGAAAAAAGAAAGGAATTGTGCCAGTAGTGTCTTAAGGAAAGTTCCAGGAAGTTGCCATGAAATACTCCCTCTTCAAGCTCACAGGGCAGAACTTAGTCCACCACAGGTCATGTCAAGTTCCAAGAGAGGTTGGGGACTTAGTCTGTTTTAGGCAGCCATATGCCTAGCTAAAAATCAGGATTCTGTTAGAATGAAGGAAGGGAAAAACAGGTATTAGGTTTCAGGTAGAGTCTCTACAATAAGAATTTACAGGGCTGACAGAGTGGCTCAAGTAGTGGAGTGCCTGCCTAACAAGCTCAAAGCCTTGAGTTCAACCACCAGTACCACCAAAATATGTATGTTTTAAAATTTAATTTTTGGCATAAAATGGACACTTTTTCTATTTGATATTATTTGGACTGAGGCCAATAATTGTTCCAGAGATGAAAATAACTAACCTGAACCAATCTTTACTTGAAAACTCTTTGTTTTCATTTATGCAGAAAACCAAGCATCTTCTGGAATATGTTTGATGGTGCCTAGGAAGTTGGTGAAACTTTCCAAACTGATCCTGGCACACTCTGACTCACAGTTGATCTTCTGTAATCTAAACTACAGTTCTACTTAAGTAGGGCCTACCTCTCTATTTTTATTCATCTCTTGAAGGGATACAGGCAGAGATTCCTCCAATAGTGACCTCATTTGCTTCTAGAAGAAAGAGTCTCTTGTTGACACACATGGCTTGGATTGAACTCCACACATCAGAACGCTTTGAGCCTTGAAGGCTGGAGGCAGAAACAGCCCCAGTAGCCGAGCCCTTCATACCTTTCTCCAGATTAGAAGCTGCCATAGATACCAAGGTAGTGATTTGAGATCCATGATGTTAAAGATAGGTTCACACAGTACCAGGGAGCATACAGTATAATGCCATGAGACCAGAATCTTCTGAACCTGTGCTAATTTGCCAGGGTAGATGTACACCCATAAGTATGGCAAAACAGCATCTTCCCCACACACACAGAAAAAAAGGCATTCCCTTATGTTGCCAAAGACTGAAATGGAATTCTTGGGAATGTTAGCCACTAAGCAAGGCAGGTACCTTTAGGGGCAAACTCCTACATTAATGTACCTTTGAAGTGTCCTTTCTTTTTGTTTCAGCTAAAACATTTTGGAGAAACAAAGAACCAGCCAAGGTCATTGAGCCACTCTAACTCATTCATTTAGACACCTAAAGTAAACTTGGTTCATTATACTATTGAACTGAGCATGCCTAAAAGCTCTAGTGCCTGCCATCTTTCATTTTGAACTATGACCTTAAACTCAACATGCTCAGAAATGTGTCTGCCCTGACGTGCCTTCCCATGTGAATATGTATGGGCTCCCTGAATAAAATCCCCATGCTTCCTTTCCATAGGAAGAGCATTGCTTTGCAAGTAATTCTAGTCCTGTCCTTACTTGCTGTGAGCATACACCTTTCTCCATTCTTCTATGTTCTGGTCATGCTCATTGTCATACTTGTATGAAGAGGAAAACCCATTGCCTTTGGTTACAGAAGCAAGAGGAACCACTATTCAGTTTGGCTTTGCAGGGGGGTTGTGATCTGGGGCTTCTGGGTAGTGAGTGCAACCACTGCTAAAATGATAACTGGGCTACATTTGCTTGTTCTCGGTAGTGATCCCACTGTACCTGTCCCAGCCAACCCAGGTATCATGAGAGTAGAAAACCCAAACTTCCTCTTAAAACCACTAGTTCCCAAATTATTTTTCTTTCTTTTATTTTTAAGGTATATATGTTTTTATATTTAATGTGGATTTCTTAGAGACAAAATATAGTTGGATCTTGTTCTCCAATCTAGTCTGACAATCTCTTGTTTTTATGGTGTATTTAAACCATTTACAACTAAACTGGTTGGATTTAGGTCTACCATTTTGTTTTCCTCTCTCCTCCTTGCTACCTTTTGAATTATTTGAATATTTTAATGTACTTACGGTCTTTTGCATATACTTCTATTTTTAAGAGGTTGCTCTAAGGATTACAGTATGCATAATTAATTATTCAAAGTCAATTTACAGTGAATATTTTATCACTTCAAGTAAAACATAGAAGCCTTGCAACCATTTTGATTCTTACACCCTTTCCACCTTTTGTTTTTTAATTACAAAAGTTTTTGTGTCTGTGTGGGTTGGGTGTTGGGGGGGTTCCCTGGAGGTTTTATATTGTTTATTTTTTGCCTTGACATATCTGAACTTCATCTGTGGCATTTCCTAACATAAACTCCTGAAATCCTTAGAATCTTCCTACTGAGAAGTGTCTTCCTGTATGCTAATGAGTTAACTGATGGCTGTCAGCCCCTAGGTAGCTTCAGGATGGGAATTGTCACTGAAAAGACCAAGATGGGACAAGAGAATTGGGGCTTTCTAATCTCCAGAGAAGAAAGGAGGTTAGAGGTTTAAATTGATCACTAATGACTGATGATTTAATCATTCATGTCTGTAATGAAGCCTCCATAAAAGCCCCAAAGAGCAGGGTTCTGAGAGCTTCTGGTAGCTAACATGGAAGTCCCTGGGTGGGGGGAGGCATGCCACAGAGAGCATGGAATCTCCAAACCCTTCCTCTATCCCTTGCCTGTTTGCCTCTTCATCTATACAAAGGATCCTTTATAATAAACTGATAAATGTAAAGAACTGTTGCCCTGACTTCTATGAGCCACTCAGCCTATTAATCCAACCCAAGGAGAAGGACGTGGAAACGTCAATTTATAGTCAGTGGGTCTGATACACAGGTAAAACAACCTACAGCTTGTGACTCACATCCAAATTCGGGGGCGGAGGGTGGATGACAGGCTTGGAGAAGCCCTCCATCTGTGGAATGTGATGCTACCTTCAGGTAGAGCGTGTCACAACTGAACTGAATTAGGGGATACCCAGCTGGTTGCCACTGTCAAACTGATTGCGTGCTTGGTGAGTGGGGTTTTATCTGGTGTCAGAAGTGATGTGTGTTGATTATTGTTGAGTGAGAGAATAGGAGAAACTGAATTTGTGGTGGTTTTTTTTTTTCCCTATATAGTCACATGCATTCATCTTGTTTGTTGTTCACTCAATCCCTCTCCCTCTCTCTGTGTCTCTACGCCCCTCAGTGCTGGGGATTAAACCTAGGGTCCCTTTGTGTGGTAGGCAAATGCTTTACCATTGAGCTACACCTCCAGCCCTCACTGAGTTTCTTGACTCTTTAATTTTATGCCTTTCACCACATTTGAGACTTTTTTTTTTGCTGTACTGGGGTTTAAATTTAGGGCCTCACACTTGCGAGGCAAGCACTTTACCGCTTGAGCCACTCCACCAGCCCCTTTTTGTGGGGGGATTTTTAAAGTAGGCTTTGAACCCATCCTCCTGACCTCTGCCTCCAAGTAGCTAGCATTACAGGTGTGAACCACCAGCACACAACTGAAAATATTTCTTTAAATATTTTTTCTTGACACAAATCTCTTACCTTTCCCCTGGCATTCTAATACTATGAATGCTTGGCCTACAATTTCTGAAATGCTGTTCATTATTTTATAACCATTTTTCATTCTGTTCTTCAGATTAGATAATTTTTCTTTATCTATCTTAAAGTTCATTAACTCCTGTCATCTCCACCATACTATTAAGAATTTTTACTTCAGGTTGTGTGTTTTTTGGTTCAAAAATTCCCATTTTTATAGTTTCTGCTTCTCTGCTGAGGACACTCTTTGCCACCTAATTTCAACTGTGCTTACTTTTACCTCATAGGGCATAGTTAATGTTGCCAAAGTCCTAGGCCAGAGGGAGCCTGACCTTAGGGAGTCCCACCACACCAGGTCTGGCCACTTACCCCAAAAACAAAATGGAGGGCTGGCAGAGTGGCTCAAGTGGCAGAGCACCTGCCTAGCAAGTGTTGGCCCTGAGTTCAAACCCCAGTACCATCCCTCCCCCCAAAAAAAAGAAATGGCAAAAGTAATGGTGACAAGCAGGAAAAGAATTTTATTCAGTCTAGCCACACGGAGAAGATAAAGAGAAGCATATCTCAGTCCTGTCTTCAGGAGTACTGACGAGAGCTTCAAGTTCAAATAAGGAAGCATGTGCAGTAAACGACCTTCGGCAAACTGGTCTGGTTCTGTAAGGTTCCAGAGGAGTTATGGCTTGGGCTAATTTTGTTTACATCATGAAATGAATGTTCCTGCTTAGCAGGGAAGTCACAGTTCCTGTCATGGGGTAACTGCTCCCATTTAGAGGGACAGTCTCATCATAGGTTGATCTGCCTGGAAGACTGTTGTTTGTAGAATTCATGATGACTTGCAGAAAGGCAATACTTAGTTCCTTCAGTATTGGGCAATGGCTAGAGACTTCTAGATGCCATTTTGGTGTTCTGGAACAAGGCATTATAAAAGTTGAGTATTTTAGTCAGTTTAGCATCACTGTGGCAAAATATCTGAGAGAAATCATCTTACAGGAGGAAAGGCTTATTTTGGTTCCCAGTTTCAGAGGTTTCATAGTTGGCTGCCTCTACTGCTTTTACTTCTGTGGGAAGGCAGAAATGTCATGGCAGCCAGGAAGGAGAAAAAGTAGAGGAAGTAGGATATACCCTTCAAAAGTATGCCCCCGGTGACCCATTCTTCCAGCTCACCAGTGACTAATACGTCTGTATGCAGAGTCGAGCCGGAATCTCACCCAAAACATTAAGTAATAAAGGGACAGAACAAAAGGAAGGCAGAGATGCCAGTTTTATCCTGATTTTAGCTACCCATTGGACATCTGCAGGCCCAAGTAAAGTCAGTGCTTTTAGCAACAGCAGCCTCTAAGTCCTTGTTACAATAATATTAGTTATTTTAAGTCTTTGTCTGATAATTCCAACCTCTGGATGAGGTTTTCATCTTTTGATCTTTTCACATAAAAGTTGGTTATATGTTCTTAGGCCTTTGCTGAGTGATTTTTGATTGTATCCTGGACATTTGATTTTTATGTTATGACTCTGGGTCTTATTAAAATCCTCTACAACAACAGTCAACAAACTATGGCCTGCAGGCCAACTATATTCTTTTGGTTTTTCATTTGCTTTTGCTTTTTTTTTGCAGTGCTGACCTGAAGCCAAGATCTTAAGCATGCAACGCAAGTGCTCTGCCACTGAGCTACACCCTCAGACCCTTCCTGTTTTTTAACAACTATTTCACCTGAGTATAGTCATGCTACTCATTTACCTACTGTTTACAGCTGCTTTGGCACTAGAACAGCAAAGTTTAGTTGTGAGAAAGAGACTGTAAGACCCACAAAGCCTAAAATACTTGCACCTGGACTGGGGATGCAGCTCAGTGATAGAGCATTTGCATAGGATGCACAAAGCTGTGGGTTTAATCTCCAGCACGAAAAAAAAAATATATATATATATATATATATCCTGGAAAAAGTTAAGTTTGTTAAGGACCCCTTCTCTAGAAAATTTTGGTTTTGTGTTAGTAGGCAGTCAGTCCACTTGTAGGTTGACACTCCAAGCTCTTTTTTCTCTGGAGGCACTGGGAATCCCTTGTACCTATTAGGTAAGCACACTACCACTGAGCTCCATCCCCAGTTCTCAAACTACAAATTCTGTCTCCTTGTCTATGGTCCTTGCTTCCAATGTCATTTCAGTTTTTCATATCTTTGCTATGGTGTGTTGGATTTTATTCTTTTTTGGGGGGAAGGTCTTGAGACAAAATCTCACTATGTAGCCCAATATGCCACTACAACCAGCTGGGTTTTTGGGGGGCCCTGAGGAGAGGTGGTTTTTACTTTGCCAAATGTAGGTTCATTCATACATAGTATTAAGGGAGTCCCTCTATCATAATTGGCTTCTCTCTGGGATTCGCCCTACACTCTTGACTTGCAGGGGCTCCTCTTCCTAGTAATTTGCCCACATACCAGAGATTCTCTTGAAATTTAAATCACTTACACTGCCACCTACAATGCTGCACCATGGAAGCCTGCCCTTGGACACATCTGAGCGAGAAAACATCTTTTCAATGGAAATTCCTCCCCCACCCTCTCTGACTTAGAGATTTTGCTGTCACTGCTACGGTGCAGCCCTCCAACTGGACCTATTCTCAAGTCAAAGTTGGGAGAGAAGAGAGGAGAAAATGTTGGGCAACTAACTCCATACAAAGAATTTCCTCTTTGCTTGCTTACAGAGTCCTGGAGTTTGTATTTCGTCTAGAATGTTAAGTTATAATCAGTGGCAGAGAGGCTGCAGTGGGCTTCCTACACTTTGGCACCAGAAGGTCTGGTTTTGACCACAATCTTTAGTAAAAAAAAAAATCACATTTTACATTGAGACCCAGTTATATGTGCACAGGTACCACTATGACCCTCATCTCACAACACCTACCCTCACGGTGTGCAACAGCCTCTCTGACATTCTATCGTATTCCTTTGTTTTTAAGATGTTAATATTTTATATTTTAATGTTAATCACATAACTCATTACCCAGAGTTAACCTGAGTTTGAAAAACACAGCTCTAAGCATTATTACTGACAATAAGAGGTAAGGCTGTTATTAGGTGAAATAAACCAGCACATTTCAGCAAATTCTGAATAATATATATCTGAGCTGACAGTACAACAAATCTGTAAGTTTAAAAAAAAACAAAAGTGATGAAGGCTGAGAAGGCTGAGGTGCAGCTCAGTGGTAGAGCGCTTGCCTGGCTGGGGAGGTGCTGTGTTTCATTCCCAGCCCGGCAGGGAACTGAGGGCGGGGATGAGAACTGTGTTACAACCTTGGATTGTAGAACTCAGGATTGTACATGTGAGACTTACCCACATCCTCGGTTCCCGCTCCCCAACCTGGACAAAGGTGAACTGAGTTAGGTAGCTTTGTGATTTCGGAAATGCAAAAATAGTCAAAGTGATAGGATTCAATTATAAATTACGTCATGCCTAAATTTTATATTAGGTGCTCGATACCATGTATTACTTGCAAAATAAGCAGCCTGAAGTCAACTCTGCAGGGAGAGGAAGGCAAGACTGTAATTATTGATGCCTGGTTCCCACTGCTGCCTTTCACTCCCTCTTGCTTCCCTCCCTCCCCTATCCCTCCTTCCCCTCTCTCTCCTTAATAAAATCAGGTGGGTAATAAATATTTGAACTGGATAGTGATCCTTGGCAAGCTTGAGGCTGTAAACTAACTAGAGCCCAGACTAAAGAGGAATGCAGTGGTCCCTCCAATGCTAATTTTAAGTACTTCCAAAATATCCACCTTAATTACTGATTGCACGTATCCCCAGATATAAAAAACTTGACGATTCATTATAACTACTTCCCAAATATAATAAACTTGATTAAAGGTATGAACTCCATACTTGAAACCCTATAAAGCAGTATTTCATGCCCAAGCTGTCCTAAGAAGATGGTCCTTTCTCTTGATCCTCGTCTACTTCTGATTTTGTAAAACATTTCCCTCCCCAAAACAACACTTCTTCCCTGATTACTTCAGGGGAGGTGTTGAGGCAGAGAGGAGATGGTATTAGAATAAAGGAAGTGGAGAAAAGGTGGAAACTACTAGAATGTGGGGCCTTCACCATCAACCCTAGCTCCTGCCACACAACCCCATACACTCAGGCTGGATTGTCTCATCTAGGATCTCACCTACCCCCAGTTACCCTGCATTCCCCACAGCCCATCTTCATAGTCTCCTCCCATCCCACCCCTGGATGTCTAAATGTAGCCATGTGTTAAAAAGCTGGCTCATACATGATAAAAGCGAGAGCACACAAGGGAGGGGTGAGGATAGGTAAGACACCTAAAAAATTAGCTAGCATTTGTTGCCCTTAACGCAGAGAAACTAAAGCAGATACCTTAAAAGCAACTGAGCCAATAGGAAAGGGGACCATGAACTAGAGAAAAGTTAGATCAAAAGAATTAACCTAGAAGGTAACACACACCACAGGAAATTAATGTGTCAACTCCTGTATAGCTCTCCTTATTCTCACCAGCAAAAACCCTTGTTCCTTCCTATTATTGCTTATACTCTCTCTTCAACAAATTAGGAAATAGGGCAAAAATAGTTTCTGCCGGGTATCGAGGGGGTTGGAGGGAGAGGGAGGGGGCGGAGTGGGTGGTGAGGGAGGGGGTGGGGGCAGTGGGGAGAAATGACCCAAGTCTTGTATGCACATATGAATAATAAAACAATAAAAAAAAAAAAACTGGCTCATGGTAGCAAGATTAGAGAGTACTGCGGAGAAACTCACTTAGCCAGACCCCTTTCCTCACTGCTCAGTCTTTCAAAACCACGAAAATCGCTCCATCTCACCTTCACTCGCCTCGCAGGGAAATGGTGCTTCAAGTCAGCTGGCAGAGCGGTGCCTCAGTGTGGACCTACCTTTGTTCACAGAGGGGATTATTTGGTTTAGGCTTTGCAAAGATCCACCTTGCTTGGATAGGGGTTATTAAAAAAAAAGTCTAAAATTGAAGGAATTTCTACCTTATAACTTTATCAATTTAAAGAGGGGAAACCACCTTATTTTTATGTCTCTTAGACAGGAGAGCACAGAAATTCATAGGGGAGGTTCAGGAGTTAGCTCAGTGGTAACAGGTTTGCCCAGAATGTGTGAGGTCCTGGGTTCAATCCCCAGCACTGGAGAAAAAGGTGAGAAAATAGCAGAGACAGTGTTTATACAGGCAGGGAGTGGCTTTTGCAGAATCTGGCTCCATTCTTCACAAGAGTTCCCAACAATTCCTGGGTAGTTATACACGCCAGACAAATCTGTCTTACAAGAATTTATCTTCAGAACAACTCTTTTATCATTAGCATCATCTTCATTTTAGAAACAGGGAAACTGAGGCTTGGAGCAGTCAAGTAACTTGCTCAAAGTCTCTTATCTAGTAAATGGCAGAGCTAGGATTTGAACTCAAGCAGCCTGGCTCTGAGTCCACATACTCACCTACACTGCAGTAGCCTTTAGCTCGCTTCTACTTGGTGAGCAAACTGTCACCCTTTACCTGATTTCATCACTCCACTTCTCCAGAGACGAAAAGGAACAGAAATGGGAGTGAGGGAGAGCTTTGTCACAGTCACCATTTCAATTCATTAATGGGTTCTAGAGTCTGGCAGGATTCTGGCTCTGGTTTCCTTAGCTTAGAGGTGTTGCTGGGGAGTGGCTGATCAAGCAGGGACTGCATTTCTCCACTGTCACTTTAGAGACATTTAAGAAGCAGGTGTACCTTCTCCATTCTCTCCTCCCCTGTTTCTCCTTCTGGATGCAGAGGATTCTGCAAAACCCTGGGGAATAGAGAAGCCAGAGATGAAAGAATTTGAAGATCTTGGATGGCTTGAGGGAAGCCACCAACCAGGAACAATGCAACAAAAAGATATAGTCAGCCCTCTCTATGTGTGGGTGCTGCACCTGCAGATCCAACCAACTACTGATTGGAAATATTCAAAACAAATTCCTTGTCACTTCCCTGAACAATACAGTAGAGAACCATTTATGTGGCACTTACATTGTATTAGGTATTATACATAACCTAAGCACAACTTAACTGTGTGGGAGAAGATGCATAGGTTACACCAATTATTCTGCCGTTTGAAATAAGGATCTTGAACATGCATGGATTTTCGAATCCTCAGGGCGTCTGAACCAACTATTCACAGCTACCAAGTGACAAATCATGTAGAAGTACACTCCTATTGTATTAAGCCACTGAAATTTGGGGGTTACAACTGTCCAAGAGCCCCCATACCCAGCATGTCCCCACACCCTTCCTGTTCCAGTTTGTTTTGATGGGACTGGGATTTGAACTCAGGATTTCACACTTGCAAAGCAGGTGCTCTAATCACTTGAGCCACACCTCCAGTCCACTTTGCTTTGGTTATTTTGGAGATGGGGGGTCTCATGAACTATTTGCCTGGGCTGGCCTCAAACCTCATTCCTCCCCTTCTCAGCCTCTCAAGTAGCTAGGATTACAGGCGTGAGCCACTAGCGCCTGGCCTGTTCCAGTTCCTTATTGCTGCATAACCACTGAGTTACACTCACAGATTCTGTGGGTCAGGAATTCAGATGGCTTAGATCTACTCCACCATATCTGGAGCCTCAGCTGGAAAGATTCTGGGACTGGGGGTGACTCATTATTGAGAGGTTGGCACCATCTAGGGCATCTTTATTCCCACGTCTGGCAGCTGATGCTGGATGTCAGTTGGGACCTCATCTGGGAACATCTACATGTAGTTCCCAGGAAACTTTGCAAGAGTGAACCTTTATGTATACATTAACCAATGAACTGTTAAGGTAAAATTTATCCAAAATGTTAAAAAACATACAGGATCCTAAATAGAGTATAGATTTTAACAAAATAACCCAAATATATTTAAATGTATCACAAAAAGGTATACATAAGAACACATCCATTACCACTTGCATTATTTTAGCCACCCCCTTGCTTATCTGTTACCATCTACTCTAAAAGCCAGAAACCTCTCATCACAAACCCTTGTTTATTTCCAGAAAACATGTACTTTTCAAAATTGTTATACACCAGTGGAAAGAAGTGTATCAACTCTAGTATAGTACTTACATGTAGATCTTTTCCCTTTAGCCTTACAAAATCCATTAATTTCCAAAGTTGCTTAGGAAGGGCTGAGTTTGTAGCTCAATGGGTAGAGCACTTGCCATTTATGCCTGAGGCCCAGGGATGGATTCCTATCATTGCAAGAAAACAAAGTTAATTCAGTCACCTCCCTTTTTCCCTACTCCCTTCAGAGACTTGTAAGACATCAGTATGAATCCATGTTTAGCTATATATTCAGTTTGCCCTCCCTACCCAAGGATTCTACATCTGTTGATCCAACCAACCAAGGATTAAAAATATTTAAAAAAAAACTGTATTAATATGTACTCTTTTTCTTTGTATTACTCCAAGCTATACAAGAAAACAACTATTTGTAGGGCCCAAAGTGACCACACGGAGAGGAGTGATCTGGCCAAGAGATTCTTTATTGCTGGGTGGGAGAGGGAGAGAGCCAAGGGGGGGGGGGGTCAGGGGCTTAAATACCCCTCAGTGGGACTCGGCATGATCTGATTGGTTAGGATCTTATGGTTCATGCTGATTGGAGGTTGGGCAGAAGGAGAATTCAAGCTAGACTTGAGGCAGGACCCTGACCTTGGGAAACAGAAGCTTAAGGGTGCAGTAAGAACCGAAACCCCTTGACTCCATTATTGCCAACACTATTCATCTAGCATTTCCATTGTATTAGATATTGTAAGTAATTTAGATATGACTTAAAGTATACAGGAGGAAGTGTGTAGGTTTTCTCAACTACTATACTATTTGAATATAGGAGTCTTCAGCATCCATGGATTTGGCTATCTTCAGGTGGTTCTGGAAGCAGTCCCCCATGAGTATCAAGGGATGACTCTGCACACACGTGTATACATGTACAAATCTTCATGACTATGTGCGTAAGGAGGTGCCACTAGGTGCCTTTGTTTCTGATACCTTTTTTTTTTTTTAATTAAAAGAAACCAGGGCTCCTTGGAGACATGGCTGATTCTAGGCCTAGAGCATCTATCTTGTGCCAGAAAGTAGGAAGTGCTCAATACAACACACAATGGACTATGTCACAGGGGTATCACAGCCAACTGAAAGAGCTCTCACTAGCCAAAGTAGGGAGCTGGGAAGCACTGCTCAGTGGTAGGTACCTAGTATGTATGAGCCTCCATTCCCATCACTGCAAAAAAAAATATGGAATTTAAAGGGACCCCCAAGTAGCTAAAACAATCTTGAAAATGACAAGAGCAGTCAGAGGACTCACATTTCCTGATTACAAAACTTACTGCAAAACCACAGTAACCAAAAGTATGTTACTGGCATAAAGACGGAAGTGTTTATTTACTGACCAAAGTAGGAACAATTTGAATAACAAAATAATGCATTATTGGATTGTAACCACATAGTATAAAATAAATATACCTGGGTCTATACTAATATAAATAAATGACCAAAAAAAGAAATAGGACAGAAGAGACAAACTTCCTTTGCAGAATTCTAAATAGTTTCTGTAGCTACCCCACTCCCTCCTTCTTAAGCAAGTGCTTCTAATACTGTCTCCTTCCAAAGAGAATATTGTGGAAAAAAGAATAAACTGACAGTGGAGACCTGGCAAACACTGCCTTATCCAGGTGATAGATATTAACCCCAGATATGCTAGTCCATGTTGATAGCATGCGTAGTGGATATGACCGATGAGAATGACGCTTTACCTGCTGTTTCTCCTAAAACCATTGCCCCCGTCTAACCATGAGAAAACATTGGACAAACCCCAATGGAAGGGCATTCCACCTGACCAAGATATTGTCAAGGTCATCAAAAACAAGAAAAGTCTGTCACAGCTAAGAGGAGCCAGAGAAGGCACAGACTAAATGTCAGGAAGGCTTCTACACACACACTAGCCGTTCCTGAGACAGAATACGCAGGCGAGGTGGGGGCACCAGCACACACCCATGCATGGCTTAGGGAAGCTTCTCCTTGACTGCAACTGCGATCCCCATTTTCCTGAGCTTCTGAGGTCACAGGCTGCAAGATCCGACAGTGCCGCACCGATAAGCCGCTCTAGGCTGGGTTTGAAGCCATGATTAGGAAATTGCACTTTGGAAACAAACCCCGACTGACAGCCTATTCTACCATTTAACTTGTTACTTTGGAAAGATTACTAAACCTCCTAGTGCTTCTTTCCCCAGCATCCCTAAAAACGGGCATGTAACTGCCATGATATCCATGAAGAACACTTAAGAGGGCAGGCAGGGATGTCACTCAGTGGTAGAGCACTGGCCTACCATGCGCAAGGCCCTGGGTTGGATCCTTGGCACTAAAAAGAAAAGCTAAAACAAAAACAAACAAAACACCAAAGAATCTCCATAAGGTGATGTACATAGAATGCTTAGAATTTGGCACTTAGCTCCAAAAAAAAGTTAGCCATTTACTATTATACTTGGTGTGATTACAGGTAGATACCCCCGATAGCTCAATGCCTGCCACCTTTTATCTTCTCAGTTTTCCAATACCTGGTTAACAATTTATAAGCATATTATGAGAGAGAGAGAGCGAGAGAGGAGAGAGAGAGAGAGAGAGAGAGAGAGAGAGAGAGAGAGAGAGAGAGAGAGAGAGAGAGAGAGAGAGAGAGAGAGAGAGAGAGAGAGAGAGAGAGAGAGAGAGAGAGAGAGAGAGAGAGAGAGAGAGAGAGAGAGAGAGACGGCTAGGACTTTGCGGCGGCGGGGAAGGCGGGGCTAGAGTCGGGCCGAGGCCACGCCTACCATGTGGCCACGCCCCTGCGCCCGTCGCCCGGCCCTTGCGTTGCGCAGGCGCAGTGTCGGCGAGCGTGCGACCGACTCGATCGCGGACGAATCCGGGCGATTGCTTCTGTCTGTTGTTTAGGTATGGCGCGGTCTGGAAGGCCGAGAGGCGGCTGGAACCTGGGCCGGAGTTTCTCTCGCTGCTGACCGCCACCAGGGCCGAGCGGGCCATGGGGGAGCCTGGCCCGTTGGTCCCGGGAGGCCTCGCCGGCGGCCGGCGCTGGTGCTTGCGCCGGGTGGGGATGAACGCCGAGTGGCTGCTGCTGGAGGACGGGCGCGAGGTGAGGGGGAGGGGCGGGCGGGGGGCGCGGGGGGCCGGGGCCAAGCCAGGCCTCGGTGCGGGCGGGATGGGAGCAAGCCGCGGTGCCGGGCCCGGGGGGAGATGGGGGTCAGGGGCGGGAGGTGCTTGGGGGGATGGGGGCCCAAGGGGCGGAAGGAGCTGGGGCCGCGCAGCTGAGGACCAGCCCGGCCTCGAAGGGAAGGAGGGCCCGCCGGGGGCTGGGTCGGCCCTCCTGGGGTTGCATGGACCCTCGGACCCTCAGGTCGAGGAGCAGAGGCGGAGCTGCCCCCTAACCGTCGAATCGCCAACCGCCGAGGGCCGGGGACAGGGTCCGCAGGGCCGCCCGGGGCATGGACTTTGTCGATTTTTTTTGAACGCGATTGCACGCTTTAGCTACGCAAACTTTAGAGGGCAATGTCTTCCTTCTGTAAGGAAGGTTGGCGTTGGGATGGGCCATGGTGATCCTGAGTCTGGGGACCGAAGAGTGTCCCCCCATCCCCCGAAGGTGGGACAGAGATGGGGATCCAGAGTTCTCTCCAGAGGCTGCTTACAGTGTTTGCTAATGCAGCCAAGTGCACGGTTCTTGATCCTGTTAAAGAGAGAAGGTGAGGAACAGTTGCAATGGGGGGTTGGGGGCGGGGGGAGGATGCGACAAGGATTCGGACTAAGGTAGACCTAGAGAATCCCAGAGAACAGGGGAGAGACATACTTCCACTCAGCCCAAAAAGGAACACTGAGTACAGACAGGCTTCTGATGGGGAACCATTTGGATTTTGGAAATAATTTGCGTGCAACATTCACTTTGAGGTGATAGTGAAAATTCTTTTGCCTGGCCCTATGCCTCACATCTGTAATTCCAGTCACTGGGGAGGCGGAGGTTTGGAGGATGGAGATTGTGGCAAAAACTTAGGGAGATCTCTGGTAGAGAATCTGTCTAGCAAGGACAAGGCCCTGAGTTCAGACTCCAGTAACACACACACATACACAAATTCTTTTCATTTTTACCTGTTTTTTTAGTTAGAGTTTTCTTCCACACCGTATAGTCTCAATTTAGTCTCCCAGGTATTTGTTGACTACTTAATATTGTTTGGTATAGCACCTGCAAGAGTTTTTGACTTGAATGAGGAAAGAGAATTTGTACAGCGAAGCAGTCTGAGAACATCTACATGATCAAATTTAGTAATATTCAAGGCGGGGATTCAGGTCCAGTCTTACATGTTACTGAATTAAGAGGTAATAAAGTATTACTTATTTTTGTGTGTAACTGCATTTTACCTACATACTCTGATCCCTGCACACACACTGTATATTCTCTCAACAATCCTATATGGCAACTTAGTTGTCAAATGTTGATTACCCTTTTAGATTCACTTCTATGGGTTAACTTATTACTTTCAAATAGCTTGGTAGCCCTGTTTTTTTTTTGGGGGGGAGGGGATAATTGTATCTGTAGCAAGGGCAAGTAGACAGTAAAGCACCAGATGTGTTCTAATTATTCCACTGATTTGTGTGAGGCCACACCTGTAGGAAAAGATGCATACAAACCAAGTGAATGGTAAAGACATACTGGGAGGATCATGGTCTGCCCAGGAGCCTGTGTGAGGGAGAAGCCTGCCAGGCCTGGATTTCCCAGCCAGATCTTACTGGTTGGAGCTTAGCCTGTAGTGTGTGTGGAGTCTGAATCAAAGCCAAGATGAGGTCTTATTGTAATGGTTCTCAAATCATAGCACAAGTTGGTTTGCACAAGATTTTGGGAGGTGTGCTGATACCATTTAATTGTAACAGCAAAGTGAAGTCAATTTCCTGCCTTTCCATTTCCCTTCAAAGGCTCAGACTTTGCAGATATAGTAGTAAAACATGGTTCCTCTCATTTCATTGAAGGAGGTGTACAGTAAGTCATCTGTCTTAATGTGTGTCTTTAAACTTACTAAGCCAGTCCAGAGAATTTGGTATGAAAACAAATAAGTAGAGATTTATTGCAAATTAGCAACTTCCTAGGCCCTTTAAGGAAAAGCCACATTTTCTTTGAACTCAGGGCCTATACCTTGAGCCACTCCAACAGTGCCTTTTTTTTTTTTGGTCAGGAGCCATTTGCCTGGACTGGTCTTGAACCAAGATCCTCTTGATCTCTGCCTCTTGAGTAGCTAGGATTACAGGTGTGAGCCACTGGTGTCCAGCTTTGCTTGTTCTCTTATATTTGGTTTTCATAAAACTTTCTCCCCTAAGGAGGTTGGAAAAAAGGAAAGGATGGTTCTAGAGTGCTTACTGGTCATCTGGGAAACAGATGTCCTGGTGCCCAGGACAAAAGACATGGCATTAGTGGCGGTGGACAAGAACTAGACAGTCTTCTAGATCAGATGTCAGAATCTACAAACACTTGCAGAACTATTGTGAGCAGAAACAGTTCTCAGTATATGGGTTGGTGTTAGCTGGTACTTGGTGCCCGTGGAAAATTAAGTTTTACACTATAAGTGGTGCTGAAATTTCCAGATAAACACATTATGCTCTTTATCTGTGATATATGTGAAATGTCAGCAGTTCTGAGGTAAATGCTAGGACAGACTGTGAAGGGCAGAATGGAAAAGAATGTTTCTTTCTTTTTCTGAATTTAAAGTCTGTAGGAGGCAGTCTCAGAAAAAGGTACTCTTCTGTCTCTTCATACTGTTTTCCCTAAAAGCTATCTAGCTGTTTTCCCTCAAGTATTGAGAAGAAATATGGGCTACTTCCTCCCTTAGGAAAACTACCAAAGCTACCCAGATGGAATTATTATTTTTTTGGTGGTATTAGGGTTTGAATTCCTGGACTTGCACTTGTAAAGGCAGGTGCTCTTCCACTTAAACTACACCCCCAGCCCTTTTTGCTTTAGTGTTACTTGAATAGGGTCTCAAATTTTCCAGGGCTTACCTGGACCTTGATCCTCCTGTTTATGCTTCACATGTAGCTGGGATGACAGACACATGCCACCATGCCCAGCTTGGTTAAGATAGAGTTTTGTGACTTTTTTTGCATGGGCTGGCCTTAAGCCACAATCTTCCCTACTATGCCTTTCTAGTAGCTAGGATTACAGGTATGAGCCTCTGTACCAGGCTCCAAGATAGAAAAATTTTTTAACATCTTTATTAGTATATGATGGTTATATAGGGGATTTCGTTGTGACATTTCCATATATACATGTATCATACCCCAGTTTGGCTCATCCCCTCCATTATTCTCCATTATTCTTCCTCCTATTCCCTTCCCTTTCCCTTCTGTTTTTTTTTTTTTTTTTTTTTGGTTGTACTGGGGTTTGAACTCAGGGCCTAACTCTCTAGCACTTGCTGGGCAGGTGCTCTACCACTTGAGGCACTCCACCAGCCTTGTTTTGTGTTGGGTTTTTTTCAAGATAGGGTTTCATGAACTATGCCTGTGCTGGCTTTGAACCGTCCTTCTCCTGATCTCTGCCCCCTGAGTAGTTAAGATTTCAGGTGTAGGCCACCAGTGCCTGACCCCATTCTCCTTCTTTTTTTTTTTTTAATTTGTTCCCATTCCCCTTCTTAAGGTGAGTTTCAACAGGTTTCAGTGTTCCATATTCACACCTGTATAGAAAGTACATCAACCATATTCACCCTCATTCACCCTTACCCTCCTACTAGTGCTCTCCCCTTAACATTGACCTGTTTTCCAAGATGGAAATTCTTAATGAATATGGATGGCAGGGGGCTGGTGGAGTGGCTCAAGTGATAGAGTGCCTGCCTAGCAATTGTGAGGCCCTGAGTTCAAACCCCAGTACTGCCAAAAAAAAAAAAAAGTATCCAGAATATGGTAGCAGGTAGTCTTTAAACATTCCCCCAACCACTCAGCTACACCCCCAGTCCTAAGCATTAGATTTCTAAAAGTTGTACATATTAATTTGGAGGAAATTCTATGATTAGGGAAATTTCATGCAAACTGTCTGAAAAACTTCAGACTCAGAGTTTTAGTGGAGGTAGTCACCACATTTTAAATGGAAGCAAATCAAATTGTAAGAAATCCTAGCTGCTGCTTCATATTTTCCAGTAGTAATAGTCCAGTTTCCAACTTCTGACCTGGATGGGGGGAAACCTATGATAAAATCTGCTGGGTGCTGATGGCTCATGTCTGTAATCCTAGCTACCCAGGAGGCAGAAATCAGGAGGTTGGTGGTTCAAAGCCAGAGCTGGGCAAATAGTTCATGAGACCCTATCTTGAAAAAAACCCATCACAAAAAGGGCTGGCATAGTGGTTCAAGTGAGGCCCTGAGTTCAATCCCCAGTACCATTAAAACAAAAAAAAATTCCAGGAGAATCCATAGGCAGATCTCTTTATTCTCATTCACAAATATTTGCTGAGCACCTTGGTTGGTACAGAAATGCATTGGTAAAAAACATAAAAGGCCCTGCTCATGAAATTTATATTCTTGTAGGACTGCAGAGGTAAAATAGGCAAGGTACTTTTGGATTGTGGTAAGTGTATGTTAATAATATGATGAGGTAAGCAGATAGCAACTTTAGGTAAGGGTTATCAGTACAGATCTCCAAGGAGCTGAAACTTGAAACATGACAGTTTGCCATGCAAAGTCCTGAGACAAGAGGATGTTAAGCATGGGAGACTAGTGAAGAGACCTGCAAGGTAGATTGGGAGTTGGAGGAAGGAGTTAAAGAACAAAAAGAAGACCTGATTGGCTGAATCAGCTAATGTTCACAACCTGTTCTGAGATAAACTAAAGGGGTGAGGGGCCTTATAGGTCATGGAAGAACTTTGAATCATTAGAGGGTTTTTAAAAAGGAAGAGAAATAATCTGATCTAAAGTTTTTACATTATCACTTCAGCTGCTAGGTGAAGAGTGAAATTTTGAGAGGCTAAAGTAGGAGCAGAAACAGCAGACAACCAGGAAGTTCGGATTAAAAGAAGGAAATGGATTTAGGACTTACATGAATCACAGCAAGTAGAACTGCTGACAATTTAAATGTAGGGAGGAGAGCAGATGAATCAAAGATGGCTTCTGTGTTTTAGGCTGGGCATTTGGATGGATGGCAGCATCCATTATTAATGTGAGAGTGTGTGAGGAGTTAATAGATTAGGCCAGAGAGACATGGTAGTCTTTAAGGAACTGAGGACAGGCGTGATTCTGAAAGATTTGCAAAAGGAGGAAAGAGGGCAGGTTTTAGAAAACCACAAACTTTACTTTCATGCTCCCATCTAAGGCTGCAGCATAGTCATTAAAGAGAGCTTGTGCACTCGAAATAAGCAGGAAATTCTAAGACCCGGATCTGAGAAGAATTTAATTTCCTTCCTTCAGCGGTTGTTATGAACTAGACAGGTCAATCAGGAAAGTATGACAGATGTGAATTTGAACTTCTTTTCATTTTTTCCAGAGGTTTTCATGCTGTCCTTGTGGATAAGACGGAGATAATAGGCTCAGTGCAGAGACTTTTGGTTGGATTATAATTGGCTGACAGTGTACTCAGGTTGCTTTTGGTTACTTCTCATTTCACTATTCTTATCTGTGTCTCGAATAAAGGTACAGAATCGACTGCCATACCAATTTGGTGGGGGGACTAAAGCTAGAAGGAATATTGGGTATAACTGTCTGATGGCAGATTAAAAATTCAGAAAAGTCTAGACAAGCTAGTGTGATAGGCTGAACTAACAAGATGAAATGTAATCCAAATTTTTCCAGTTAGTCAATTACAGAATCAAAGAAAGGACTTAGCATAGCAATTCTTAGGGGAGGGGGAAACCAAGAAGTGTAATCAGTTCTAAGTCTGAGGATACATTGGTGGTGCAGTAGGTCTGCCATGAGATCTAATGCAGTCTCTGTGCTGCAGTGACAGTATCTAGAACTGGAAGGTAATATTTGCATTTGACTGTGTAGTAGAAATTAAGTTTAGTTTTTCTTTTTCGCAGGACTGGGGTTTGAACTCAGGCTTTGCACTTGCAAAACAGGCACTCTACCGCTTGAGCTACACCTCCAGTCTATCTTGCTCTGGTTATTTTGGAGATGGGGGTCTCTCAAGACTGTTTGCCCATGCTGACCTCAAACCTGAAACTTCCAGATCTCAACTTCCCATGTAGATATGGTTATAGGTGTGAGTCATCAGTGCCTGACAGTTCTCTCTCTCTCTCTCTTTTTTTTTTTTTTTTGGCAGTACTGAAAGTTGAACTCAGGGCTTTGCACTTGCTAGGCAGGTTCTCTACCACTTGAGCCATTCCACCAGCTAGTTTTGTTAATATACCATCCAGGTATAGGAATAACCAAGAGTCCTTTCACAGATTCATTAGAATGATAAAGAGACTGAAACCCATGCCCTGGAAGTTAGATCAAAGAAACTGGGAACTCAGAGGCAGGAAAAGAGAAAACTCAGCTATGATATCGAAGGGGGAGTAGAAAATTCTGATGGTTCCCAGGGGAATTTATATGGCGAAAGATGTCAAGTCAGAACCCTCAAAACATCTGAAGACCAGCCTTATAAAATGGCTGTAGTTCATCTTATAAGATGAGTTGATGTGGATATAGAAAGAATTCCTCCATCCCATCAGTGATTAAACCAGATGGCCTTCAGGGTCCTAGCAACCCTGAGAGCTGCTGAAAAAACTGAGAGCAGTTTTTTCTGCTTGTCACAACTTCTTTTTCTACTTGCTGGCTTTGGTGGCAGCCGAAGGAAATAGCTTCTGAACTGTTTGGATTCCACAGGGGTCTGACTTCATGAGTCAGGACTTGTGTACACTGCTGGCTGATAAGATTGTGAAGGATCTCCCTTTTTCAGCACAATGACCGATTGTGTCTGTTAACGTTGTCTTCTAGGTGACTATAGGACGAGGACTTGGTGTCACATACCAACTGGTATCAAAAATCTGCCCTCTAATGATTTCCCGAAACCACTGTGTTTTGAAGCAGAATCCTGAGGGCCAGTGGACGATTGTGGACAATAAGGTAACAGAATTCACAGAGCACAATGACTTTTAATGAGTTTTTATGTTTTGTTATTTTTTTTGGCAGTTTTGGGATTTGAACTCGGGGCCTTGTGCTTGTCAGGCAGGCATTGTACCTCTTGAGCCACACCACCAGCCCAGGTTTTTTGAGGGAAAAGAAAAAAATGGAACACTTCATGAATTTGCGTGTCATCCTTATGGAGGGATCATGCTAACCTTCTCTGTTTGTTCCAGCTTTAGAATATGTGCTGCCTAAGCAAGCACCTAAGTTTTCATGTATTTTTAAATTGCTTCTTTTTTTTTTTTTTTTTGTATAGATAATTCATGGTGTAAAATTGAAAAGTTTTATCTTCTCCCCTCAACACTTCATTCTCTTTCTCAGATGCAACCATTTCAGTGTGCTCCTGGAGATTAGATTATACCAAATTAATTTCTAATGACCCTGACCTGAGTTGAAATTTGTTACCATAAAGGGAACATCTGAATTGGGGCCACAGGTCCTATTCCAAAAACTAGACCAAGTTCCTGGGGTACTGGCTCTTGTGAAGATTCAGAGACCCTAGGAATATTCTGAAGCTTCTGGGGGACATCTGTGGCTCAGGTCAAGAGGAGGAGGGGAGGAACTGACTGCACTTAGCATCTTCCTGTCCTCTTTCCTCAAACCTGTTCTATACATACTGGTGTTCGTAGAAAAATTTACTTTGAATGAAGGGGTTTTCTGCTTTAAATAAACTTGAAAACTACTAGTCTAGTGGAGACTATGCTAAGGGAAATGAAATAGTATATAAAGCACAGTGATTAGGAAATCCCTAAAGTGCAGATATACAAGCACCCAGGAACATAAAGGAAATACAGACTATGAAGGGAGAGAAATTCTAACATAAACAGTTAAGGCACTTAAGTTGAGGAAGTACAAGAGGTTTATAGAGAGCATTGTGTAATGCTTCATTGCTCTGCTTACCAGGGTTTCAAATGTACCTGTTAGAAGGGAGGCTGTTCTGCCTTGCATCCTCATTTTGCATGCCTCAAACCTGGACTTAAGCTGTTGGAGAAAACGCCTTCCTGCTTTAGAATGAAGTTGAGTTAGCACTGTGTTGAAGAACATGGTATAAATGCTAAGTAAATTGGTCCAGCCCTATTTGCAAGGCACTGGAGAAGACTAGAAATCACTATTCAGATTATCTGATTATCCCTTTACGTGGACACACGTGAACCAGAGAGAGAAACTGTCTTGCCCAAAGCCCTCAATATAACTGGTGAGTGAGTGAGTGAGTGAGTGAGCAACTGAGGTTGCTAGTGAGCCAGAACTGAGACTCAAATGAATCTCTTTACCGTGCTTTGTCGTCAAATGCCCAGAAAGGACATAGCAATTTGTTATCCTGGTTCATGACTAAATTTTTTTAAATTACGCATAAATTTAAGATACAGCTACAAGGTTTTAAGATCTCTAATGGCGTATATCAAAACCCCTTAGGAAAAGATGTTTTCCTTATGAGAGTTGGCTGGGAAATGGGGTTACAGTGTCACAGCAGTGAGTTCTTTGCTGCTTCCCTGGGCTAGAAGCAGTGTGAATGTGATCCATTTATCGGGTAGCAGTCTTTGGTAGGGTGGGAAGCTACCAGCCAACTGATTTAGTATTCCTTAAATGTCCTCCCCAAGAATTCAGAAACAGCTTATACCAGCAACAGCTCGTGACTGTGCTCTGGAGTTGCCCTCAGTGTTTGCTGTGTACTCTTTCTTTTCGGACTATTGTAATCATCACTGTGACCCTTTTCCCACTTTTCAGATAATGTAGAGAGAGGATAGGTTCTTGATTCTTCCAAATCTTTTCTGTACAGTTGGTATAAATTTCTTAGCTTTGATTTTGTTTGAAAGGTGACTGACTTTGGGGAGAAGCTGCAAGGGGAGTGTTTCAGTGGAACAATTCTGTCAAGTTAGCCAGTCTTTTTTCTTTCCTCTCCTTTCTCTCCTCTCCCTGTCTTTCTCTTCTTTGGTTAACAGAAGCTCCTTTTCTTCCTGGCTCTTTCCTGGCATGGTGGCATAGCAGCACTCTTCTGCTGATAAGGGATTTGAATTTCAGCTGCAGGATATCATTGTATGGTATGTTTGTTTGTTTGTTTTTCTTCAGTATTGGGGTTTGAACTCAGAGCCTACACCTTGAGCCACTGCACCAGCCCTTTTTTGTGATGGGTTTTTTCAAGATAGGGTCTGTTTCCCTGGGCTGGCTTCAAACCTTGATCCTCCTGCTCTCTGTCTCCTGAGTAGCTAGGATTACAGGTGTGAACCACCAGCACCCTGCTTTGTTAGGGTTATGTTTGAAGTCATTTGCTAAGTTCCTTTCAAGAGACAGATGTTTCTAATAATTGAAAAGTTAGTGGGGCACCAGTTTTTGCCCTTTTACATAGCATACTTTTTAAAAATACTGATGTAGTATGATGAAGTTAAGAACTTCTGTTCCTCAAAAGACACCATTAAGAGAATGAAAGGCAAATGCAGAGTGGAAGGTGTTTGCTATACATATAACTGATGAAGTGCTTATATCCACATATATACAGAACTCCAAATCAGTAATAATAAAAATGATATAACACAGTTTTTAAAATGCATGAGATGGGCACTTCACAAAAGAGAGTATCAAATGTTCACTGTCCATGAAATGTTGTTTACCCTCATGAATGATTGATGAAGAAATTCAAGTCAGAACCACAAGGGAAAGCCACTACACATACGGAAGAGTGACTAAAATTAAGGACTGGCAATGATATGGAACAAGTAAACTCTCTTACTCTTCTGGTAGGAGTGTAAGTTGTAGATGTATGTGTTATATGTATGTATGTATCTATCTATCTATCTGGTGACACAGTATTTTCACTTCGAGGAACCAAATAGAATTCCATAGTCAACAATAGAATGGATAAACTGTGGAGTATTTTTACAATGAAACACTGTACTGTAGTGAACATGAGTGACTACTTTGTCCAACAACATGGTTAAGTCTCATAAACAAAATATTGAGTGAAAAAAGCTAGACCCAAGTTGCTGGTCATGAGCACCTACAATCCCAGTACTTGAATCATGAGTTCAATGCTAGTCTGTGCTACATAGCCAGACCCTGTCTCATTAAAACAACAAAAAAAGCTTTGCACAAAAGAGTACATATCATATGATGCCATTTATATAATACTCAGTATTAGGCAAAACTATCCTGCGTTTTTTTGGCCAGGGCGAGGTGGGGGGGGGTTTGCTGGGAACCTTGTACATCCTAGCAAGTACTCTACCATTGAGCTACATTCCAGGCCTGTCGTGTACTTTTAAGACAGGATATAGTTACCCTAATGGGGGAAGGAGGCCCAATGGTTTCTTGGATGCTGCTAATATGGGGCTTTTTTTTTTCCTGGTGGTACTGGGGTTTGAATTCTGGGCTTTGTACTTGCTGCTGTACCACTTGAGCCATGCCTCTACGTCCCTCCCCCCTTTTTTTTTAAACCTCATGGAAGTACACTGAAATGTTCACTTTGTGATTTTTCATATAGTTGCACATTTGTGATTTGTGCATTTATATATTGTGCTTTAAGACTTCAAAATATTGATTAATACATACCTGTTAGAATTGCTAAACTAAAACTCATGCATGCAGAGTAACTAGAACTCTTAAACATTGAAAATGGGCATACAAGATGGTATACCACTTTGAAAACAGTTTGGTGGTTTTTTTAGACTTAAACTTATACTACTGATTCGTTTGTAGATATTTACTCAAGATTTATAAAATGTTACGAATATGTATGAATGTATACAAAATGTATACAAAAATCTAGAAAACACAGCTGAGGTCTGGTTTACCCATACACTCAATACCACACAGCAATAAAAAATGCCTAACTGCTGATAGTGCAGTAGTGCCCTTGGGTCATTTTTATATATTTTGATTTAGTGCTGAATGCTGTCAGAGCATTATGTTGTGAAAAGTTCAACTCAGAGGGGCTCATACTGTGTGATTAGATTACACTCTGACAAAGGCAGACCTGCAGAGCGCTGAGAACAAGTGAGGAGTTGCCTGGTGGGGGGACAGTTGCTCAGTTGTATTAGGTACAGTACACAGTTGTATGTATCTGTATATACATACGACTTTAAAAATACTGGTATCTGGTTCCCATCTCAGTCTAACTTGAGTTAACTGAAGTGAGACCTAGGCACTCTATTTTTAAACCTCTTAACCCTGTACAGTCAGGGTTAAGAACCAGTGAGCTAGCTGCATAAAACATCTAGAAAACTCTGAAGAAAACATTGCCTTTGGCTTTGGGTTTCTACTCTTCTCAACTGTTTAAAAACAGTTAGAGAGAGATTGAGCGCCAGGTGAAGAAATTTCTGTCTAAAGGAGCCACTGATGGCTGAGACATGGGGCAGCTTTTCTTTGGGTATCATTTTTCTGCTGCTTGTCATTGTTCATACTGATAGTTATGACAACCCAGCATGAGGAAAGCCTTGAAAAGAACTTGATTTCTTTAAATCACTATATTTGAGATTGTAACCTGGGCAGAGCTTGATTGTTCTAGCATAGCCATGGGACTTTAATGGTTTTCTACAGTCACTTCATGAACTGACCTGACTTGGCTGTGGGTCAAATTATGCTACTAAATGTCACCAAGAAGTGATGAGGGAACCAAGGATAAAAAGTGTTAGAGCCGGGCACTGGTGGCTCACACCTGTAATCCTTGCTACTCAGGAAGCAGAGATCAGAAGAATCTCGGTTTGAAGCCAGCCCAGGCAAATAGTTCTGTCTCAAAAAAAAAAAAAAAAAAAACCTGTCATAAAGAAGGATTGATGGAGTGGCTCAAGGTGTAGGCCCTGAGTTCAAACCCCAGTAATGTAAAAAAAAAAAAAAAGTTTTGGGAAACTTGTGAGCTTATTTTGCAGACCAAAAGAACTTGCAGGAAGTTGGTTAATGGAGAGGATCCAGTGGAGGGGCCATTCCCCATCCCTCCCACCCCCCATCCCCTCTCCTGTACCCCCCACCCCCTCGCTTCCAGGCAGAACCTGTTCTGCCCTCTTCTCCAATTTTGTTGAAGAGAAGACATAATAATAAGAAAGATACAGCATTTTTGCTAATTTGAGACAAGGACAGCTATACAGAGAGATTCCTAGCATTGCTTCCATGCACATGTGTATTACGACCTGAATTGATTCATCTCTACCTGACCTCTTCACTACTTCCCAGTCACCTTCCCATAGTGACATCTCTCGTTTTAAGGTTACTGTATTAACTCCTCTACAGTGGGCACATCAAACACTTTCAAGTTTTGGGTTTCCTACATTTCCCTATTCCTCTTATGTTCTCTCCTTAGTGTGTGAGACCCATGTTCAATAATATTACTGTAGTTGTTTTAGGTCTATAATCTGCATATGAGGGAGAACATACGATTTTTGGCCTTCTGAGCCTGACTAACTTTGCTTAAGGTGATGTTCTCCAATTCCATCCATTTACTTGCGAATGACAAAGTTTCATTCTTCTTTGTGGCTAAGTAAAATTCCATTGTGTATAAATACCACATTTTCTTAATTCATTCATCAGTAGTGGGGCATCTTGGCTGTTTCCGTAGCTTGGCTATTGTGAGTAGTGTCTAGGAATTGTTTGTTATCTCTAGTTATGTAGCCCTGGCTGGCCTAGAACTTGTGACTCTCCTGCCTCAGCTTCCCAAGTGCTTGGATTATAGGTGTGTACCACCATGCCTGGCTGCCTTTGAGACCTTAAATTTGTCTTATCTTGGCGTTAAGTGACTGCCTGTGTCACATTACTTTGCCTGAGATCTTTTTCCTGTATGTAATAAAAAATTGACTATTCTGCTCTATATTGCTTTGGCTCCATTCCCCTGACTCCAGGGTCCATTCTCCCCCCCGCCCCCGGTGCTGGGATTTGAACCCAGAGCCTTGTGCATACTAGGCAAGCACTCTACTATAGAGCTACATCCCTCGCCTCCAGGGTCATGCTGTTTATCCCTACACTGTGATTTTGTTAAAACTAGGAAAGTAAATATTAAGCATTTCCTGCACTTGTCCTCTGGTTTGAAGGCAGAGACAAGGAAATGAAGGGGGAATGATTCAAGGCTAAAATGGTCACATTTAGAAGATACCTCAGATTACAATCATTGCAATTTTATTTACCAGTGCTGTGTGCATAACAGACAAGTTCATATATGAAATATCTAGTCCTAAATATTTGGAATTGCTCGAGGTATTTAAAAGTAAGGCAAAAAAGGAAAAAAAATAAAAGGAGTAGTAGTAAATGTAAACAGCTTTTAAAAACTTGGGAAATACTGTGTTTGGAAGTGATGTTGTAAAACCACCACTGAATGGTGTACTGTCTGGACTTGTTCATTGGGTTAAGGGAGGTGGGACAGAAGAAACTCAGAAAGTATTTTGTTAGGGTGTGCTAGAAAATTTCAGCACATCTGTTACCCTAAAAAAGAATACATGAAGCATTTATTTTAAGTGAGTTGCAGTGCTGTGTGTTTTGCAAGTATTATCTCATTCATTCCTTATAGTACAGTGTGAGGAAGATTCTATACGATCCCTGTTTTATAGACAGAATTAAGGCACAGAGAGATTAAATATTGCTGAAGGATATGCAATTAATAAACTCAAGGTGTTGCATTTGGGCTATGAGCCCAAGTCTAAGTCCAGAGCTCCAGCTCTAAACTATGACTTCTGTTGGTATTAATTGGATCTTGCCCCACCTGCAGTTTGATCCCAGTACAAAAAGTGATTATATCACCCAGTACAAAAAGTGAGTTTATCACTCACTTTTTGGTTTCTGGATACCAAAAAGTGCTTTGTTTGTTCAGTGAATTTTCCTCAATATACATCCAGAGACTGTACTTGAGTGACTGTCCTAGCCAGGCCTAACTTGTGGACTTTATCATTAAATGCTGCTTCCTGTACTAGTAGCATTTTTCTTCCCAGTCTTGGGTTATTGCCTCCAGTTTAGGTCAATAGGAGTGATTTAGTGCTATTGCGTGTATTTGAATAATTTACCTACCAGTAATAAGGCGATTCTTGCCTGTTGCATAGGCAGTTCTCAGTGGAGGTATGAATGTGAAATAAAGGTAAAAAGCCAAACTGCTTAAAGCATGCTGTTTCTAAGGATGATGGTTTATGAACCTATGAACCTTTTTTTTTTTTTCTATTTGTTCTCAGGGGTTTTCCTTCTGAAAAGGCAGAAGGTTTTGCAGCAGCAGGAGAGAAAGTCCATAAAGAGGAAGAAAATCATGCAGCTTACTTTCTTTCTTTCCTTTTCCCCAGAGTCTGAATGGTGTTTGGCTGAACAAAGAACGCTTGCAACCATTACAGGTTTACTTACTCCATAAGGGAGACCACATCCAGCTCGGAGTGCCACTGGAAAATAAGGAGAATGCGGAATATGAATATGAAGTTACTGAAGAAGACTGGGAGAGTGTTTATCCCTGCCTCGCCCCAAAGAATGACCAGATGCTCGAAAAAAATAAGGGCTTGAGAACTAAACGGAAATTTAGTTTAGATGAATTAGAGGGTCTTGGCGCTGAAGGCCCCTCAAATTTGAAATCCAAAATAAGTAAAGTGTCTTGTGAGCCTGGCCAGTCAGTGAAGGTGCATGGGGAGAGTGGAGTGGCAGGCCAGCCCTTGCAGTGTTTGTATCCGGAGTCAACTCCTCTTGAGGACACTGAGAAGACCATGGGGGCTCATAATCACCCTGGCGCCCCAAAAGTCAGACAGCTTCACCATAAGAAGCAGAAAGCCTCGAACCCTTCAGCACCTCAGAGCAGCTTAGAGCTGTTTAAGGTGACCATGACTAGGATTCTGAAGCTGAAAACACAGATGCAGGAAAAACAAGTAGCTGTTCTGAACGTGAAAAGGCAAACACAAAAGGGGAACTTAAAGAAAATTAGGAAAATGGAGCAGGAACTGCAGGATTTACAGTCCCAGCTGTGTGCAGAGCAGGCTCAGCAGCAGGCCAGAGTGGAGCAGCTAGAGAGGACTTTGCAGGAAGAGGAACATCATCTCCAGGTACCACCAGGAGGGAAGGCAAGGGTGCCCCTTGGGAGGGCAGGCTCTTTGCAAACCCTGGCCAGAACAGTCTCTTTCTGGACTGGGGACTATATGGTGAGCACCAAGGACAGGAGAGGGAATGGGAGCAGAGGTTGAGAAAAGGATTAATGCTTCAACATGCTGATGAGATCAGAAGCCAGAGTTGGGGTAGCAAGATAGGGTAAGGTGACTGGGAGAGCCAGCTAGGACATAACTGGCCTCAGGATAGAACGCTGAGGTATCAGACCCAAGGTAAATTCAGGAGAACATTGAATAAAGATCAAGATGCTACATACTGTGGAGTATACTGGTCCAGTGAAGCTGGAGTACCTATCTTTGCCTGGTGGTCAGGCAAATTACTTAATCCCAAAGCAGGTGTAAATCAGCTTTATTCTGCCCTTGTACCTGACTGACAGTTTGTTAGCTGTGAGCATTAGTTATTCTAGCTAACCTAGTAGGTAGAAGCTGGAAAAGAAGAAAATGCTTTTGTTTCTATCTTAAGCACCCAGCATGCAAAGGGACAGGAGCACCAGAGCTCTGTTGTTGGGTTGAGTGATAAACCACCTTCTTCAGTACAAGCTACTTTTAATAGGAAGGTAAAGTAGCAACTGTCTTAGTGGTGGCAAGGTAAGACCAAATGTGCTCCCATCCCCAAGTCATTTGCTTTAGATGACAAGCTCTTACACAAACAAAGCTTTGGACTGGAGCTGATCCTGTCCCTGCTCAAAATGTCAGCTCCCATCTGCCAGGTACCACATGTCATTCCCACCCAGTTGTTCAGGTAATATTGAATGTCAAGAATTCCCCACTGTGGAGTTAGAACTAAGAAGGACCAGTCATTACTGAAGTGCAAAAGCCTTTATCTTTTTGCTTAGGTTGCTCAGGGCAAGGAACTACCAGGAGCGGTGTTGGCTTATTTCTGAACAATTTATAAATTTCATTTGAATCTCTGCTATCGCCTTGAGCTGGTAGGATTAGCAAAGGTCTTTTGAAGGTATACCCTGGTTGCATGTGAGTACTTTTGCTTCCCTTATCCAGTACAGACTTCTTAAAATTAATAAGAGCATGGTAATCTTTCCTATTTAGTGTGTTATACCTTCACCAGAGCAGAACTCTCTTTAAGGGATGTGTTCAGAACAACAGTGCTTGCCAATTAATATTTGTGGTTGCTCTGTGCTTCAAGGTATAGCTGCAAAATCATTTTCTGTAGGAAAAGGTTAAGGAAAGGCAAAAAGGACTGGTTCACATGACTCCAGGTCATATATAAACTGCTTTGAGGGAAGCATGGTGAGTCGAGCTTCTTCTCCATCCTATGCCTGCTGCTCTAGAAGCTCAACCCTTGCTGCTTCACTGATGTTATTTTATGTTTTGAGTACTCACATTGCTTGGTACTACATGTTTAGGAGTTCCGCTTGGCATAAAAATGTACAATAAGGGAGTGAATTCAACTATGATATGTTGTAAGAACTTTTGTAAATGTCACAATGTACCCCCAGTACAACGATAAAGTTTTTTAAATGCATAATAAATGTTTTTTACCATTAAATGTTTTATCTTTTTGAGGAGATAAGACACGTTGTACACTTAATATAATAGAATAACAATTTTCAGTCAATATATTCAACTAGACAATTTCAAGTTGGCATATTAAACAGGCAGGTAATTTTTAAGGAAGAAAGCCCAGAGGTTCTTGTGGAATGAACTGGATGCAGGTTAGTGACGATGTGAAAGGCTCTAGTATTAGAGGGGCTGGTGAAAGAAATACAGCATCAGGTCAGGCAAGGAGAGAAGAGAAGCAGCTTATAGGATAAAAGTGGAAGAGACTCAGAGTGAAGGTATAGGGTTACAGAATTGAGGGAAGAAACATGGATGTTCTTGTGAGTGCCAGCATGGGAGAGTGTATCTTCTTTTAGATGCTTTGTGGCTCAGAAGTTCTAAGTTTGTATCCTTTTGGGTGTCATGTCATTAGCTAGTAAGGAAGCTTGGACTGTCAGCCTTTAGTTTTTCCACAGCTGTCTCTTTGTGGATTGAAGCTGGCAGTCCTGACCTGTGCGGTATTTGAGCAGATAACTACTCAAATCTTTTGCTGCCAACAGCTTGAAGTAAAGCAGAGGGCTTTCCACTTCCTCTCTGCCCCCGGTTGTTTCCAGATACTCACACTAGCCTGTCTGCTGTGCATGTTGCTGAATTTTGTCCCTTTCCCTCTTGCAGCAGGGAAACCTTCCATTTTGTTTTGACTTTACAGGGTTTGGAGAAAAACCAAGAGGAGGACCTGAAGCAACAGTTGGCACAGGCTCTGCAGGAGGTAACTTCCTTCTTGCTATATGGAGACCACAGTGGTTTGTGAGTGGTGAGTGGCCAGGCATCACATGGCACTGCCACCAGCTGCCTCTGCTGCTTAGCCACACCTTCGAGGCATCTCCAGTCTATAGACAGAGCAGGTGGCAGCTGCTCGCACCATCAGCCTGGAGATTGGGAGCCTCACAGATACGCTAGATCTCAGCATGAAAACTTACATCTTCATCTGAGCAGAAGTTGCTCTGGTGATGATAGAACAGAGCCTGTAGGAATGAAGAGGCTCTCTGGAGAAGGGGCTCTACTTCAAGAACAGTGAGGGCAGCCAGAGGGGAAATGTGAGCTATGGCTTAGCCCTCAGGGCCTGTGAGAGTCTCTAAGTCTCACCACCCCTGAGCTGTGGCCATCCAGAAACCATTCCAGAATGTTTCAGTTAAGTGTTTAGGTCAGGCTGAGAATGTGCAGTTTAACAGCAAAACATACCAATTTAGCAGAAGAGTAAAGCTCATAGGAATAAAATTCTCCTGAAAGACTGTTACTTATTTCATTTAACTTAACTCCTTCTCTCATTTGACTACTTTTAAGTGTTCTTTTTCATCTTTAAAAGCTGCTTTGGGCTGGGGGTGTGTCTTAAGTGATGGAGTGCCTGCCTAGCAAGCCCCAGGCCCTGAGTTCAAACCCCAGTAGCACCTGAAAAAGAAAGCTGCTTTACTTTCTATCCTTTATGTGTTACAATTAGTAGTTAATGCAAGTTTAGTCAGGAGATTAATGGGCTGACTCAAATCTCCTTGAGAAAAATGAGCAAATTACATTAGAGTTTGTTCAGGGGAATTTATCCCTCTCCCTATTTGTTTATTGCATTTCTAGCTCTCAACTTTACAGTACTGAGTTATATGGTATCATGTGACAGGGTGCCTGCGTTGATTGCCTTGAGGGATGCACAAACAGTCTTGGAACGAATTAGGTGAAAGTTAATGTGGTCTTTTTGGGATTTCATTTTATATTCTGAGCTTATTCATTTTGTAGTGTGGGAGCACAGGCATGTTTCCTATCTGGAGAATTTTTTCTTTTAATTTTATTGTTTTTACATTTACTTACATGTGTATACATTATTTGGGCCACCTCCTCCCCCCCACCCCTGCCCCATGGTGAATTTTAGAATTAATATTTAGGTGTTTTGAAACTGACTAGAAAAGTGTATGGTTTTGCTTCTTGGCATTCTCTTTTTTTTTTTTTTTGTAGTACTTTTTTTTTTTAATGCAGGGCCTACACCTTGAGCCACTCTGCCAGCCCTTTTTTTTTTTTTGAGATAGGGTCCCTCAAACTATTTGCCTTGGCTGACTTTGAACTACAGTCCTCCTGATCTCTGCCTCCTGAGTAGTTAGGATTATAGGCGTGAGCCACCATTGTCTGACTTCTTGGCATTCCTTGAGAGATCATTGAATTCCCTTGTACCCACAATGTGCTTCGTCTGTTCTGAGACAGACAAAGAAACACACACATCATGGGGTACGTGGCCATGAATTCATAAATTAAAATGTAGTACTTGGAAGTCATGGCTGTATACAGGGGAACGTGCCACTCTTCACTGAAGCAGTGCTTGATTTTTGTTCTACCCTGCTGGTCCCTGTGAAGTTTCTTTCTTTACCAGGCTGACAGACTTGCATTTACATAGAGTTTTAGAAACTTGTGAATGCTTTTCATACTTCTTGTTTTCTCAGTGACACTGGGACAGTAGGTGCACTTGTTTTCCCATTTTATAGATAAGAAAGTTAAGGCACATATACCTAATTAGTCAGAAGACCCAGGTCTTCTCATATGACCACTTTCTTCCCCAGAGACCACACATTTAAAAAATTGTTTCTCAAGTAATGTCTTTTCAGAAACAGTCCGCCTTCTTTTAAAAAGTACATGCTGTGTTTATACATGAACAAAATCACAAATTATCTTGCTTGCTTCTTTTCTTCCTCTCTTCTTCTCTTCCTCCTCCCCTCCTTTTGTGCCATGCTGGGGATGGAACCCAGGGCTTCATGTATACTAAGTGCTCTACCACTGAGCCACACCCCAGGCCATGAATTGTTTCATAGACGTGGAACCTCCTGACATTTATGTATGCAGCTAGTTGCAGTGAATCAAGTGTTGGCTCTTGTTTTTTGGGGGTTTTTTTTGGGGGGAGGGTACTGAGATTTTGAACTCAGGGCCTCATGTTTGCTAGGCAGGCACTCTACTACTTGACCCACTCCACCAGCCTGAGTGTTGGCTCTTGGGTATGCCAGCTTCTAGAAGACACTGGCCAGTTTCAGGCAACAGTGCCTTATGAGCATGCAGTGTGTAATTTGTAAAATAAATAGGTTAAAAGTCTTTTATTTCAGCGAAATAAATAAAAGACTTTCACCTAATCCCATTTTCATCTGAATATTTCTTAAAAGCTGCTCTGGGTGCTGAAGAGCCTCATAGTTAGTTACTAGTTCTTAAGCACTGCTTCCTGGAATCACATGGGTGGGTTTTTTGTTTGTTTGTTTTAAATAAAATGCACATTCCTGGGGCTCAAGCCAAACACACCAAATTAGACTATCTGGAGAATGAAAGCTCTTCACTTGATTTGGTTAGCCACTGAAGTTGGCTTAGTTCCACAGGGACTAGTGGATTTGATAGCCTCCCTGTCTGTGCCCTTCTGTGGGGAAAAAAAAAAATTAAAAAAGAAAAAGCAATGAAAGAAAGCATTATTTTGAAATTGTCAATTCATTTATGAACCAAGTCATTAAGCAGGTAGAGGAAGCAGGTGTGTGTGGTTCATCCTGAGTGTGTGTCTGCTATGTTTCTACAGCACCAGGCTCTCATGGAAGAGCTAAGTCGCAGCAAGAAGGACTTTGAAACAATCATTCAAGCCAAGAACAGAGAACTGGAGCGGACCAAGGTACTGGAAAGAAGATGGAGGTTTAGAATTTGGTTAGTACATGCAGCTCAGCATTTTCAACAGTGCATGGGTTGCTATGTGAATGGAGAAGGAGACTATGGCTGCACCTTGCCTCAAGGGAAATAATCTGTAAAATTATTCAGGCCTATAGAAGGTTCTGCCTGTAAAGCAACATCTGTTTCCTTCCCTTGCTCACAAAGTAAATTCTGGGAATGAGGCACTTGTATCTTACATTCTAGTTATGGCAGATGCTCCTTTGGGATGTGTCACTGATGCAAACAGGAGTGCATTTTAGTTTAAAAAAAAAAAGTTCCTCTTGATGTATTTATGTAGTCTCTTCAAATGAGTAGAACACTTAAATTACTTGTTATACACTAAATGCCTGTGAGGGCCAGACAAGTCATGCGAGTGAGTAAAGGGGACTGGTGTAAGAACATGGCAGCTGTGAGGACTTTGTGCTACCCACCCTTAATCCGAGAGGCAGCTTTTTCTCTGCCAGTCACTTGGTGCCATCCAGAATGCAAGCCCAGTGTTGTCAAAGCTGATTTTGCCACGGCAAGTGGAAATCCATATGTGAAATATCCCAGTTTTCAAATATTGGCAACAAGTTCAATTTTTTTAACTCATACATATTAATCATAAAAATTGTACATATTTTTGGGGGCACCAAGTAGTGTTTCAGTACATGTATGAATTCTGAGTTTTTGTATATGCTTTTTTAATACCATAAAGGCCAAGCTAAATAAGTCTGTAGGTTGGATCCAGGTCAGCCCCTGACCTGAAAAGTGAGTGACTTGAGTCTTGACTGCGTCTCTCATTCCACTCCACTCCACATACAGACCTGGAGCTGAGTATAGAAAGGAAGAGGAGTCTTTTTTTTTTACTAGTTGACTTGATATCCTTATCCTTTATTTTTTAAACATTTTTATTACTATATTCAGGAGATTTCATTGTGAGATGTATATATATATATATATATATACATGAAAATGTATATATATATATATTAAACACCCCAGTTTGTTTCACCCATCTGTTCTCCCTTGTATGCCATTCCCCTTCCTAGTTCTTTGTTTAAATCACTTTTAGTAACTTCTTCCCTGATCTCCAAGAAGCTACCACATCTTTTTTTTTTTTTTTTTTTTTGCAGTGCTGGGGAATGAATCCAGGGCCTTGTACATGCTAGGCAAATGCTATATCACTGAGCTGCATTCTCAGCCCCATCACATTTTAAAAAATAGATTTATTTTATTTTAAATCACCATAAATAATAGGGGGTTCCACTGTGGTAATTTCATACATGTGTATAGTATACTTTAAACAAATTCACCCCCTCTATTATATCCTACTGTACTTTTTTAAAGCCTAGTGGTTCATAAGTTTTCAAGGTACTTGATTCTAGTTAGAAATGAGGTTAGACCCTCTTCTCTTGCCCTAAGCAGTGTTTATTTTGATTGGAAGAGAAAATAAAAAAAGAACCAACCACTTAGATATACCTTAAGTGTCTTTTCTTGCCCCCCTCTGGGGCTTCTTTTGCTTTCTGTTTGGGGAATTTTTATTTTAGAACTTCTGAATCCTATTCCAGACAATTAACCTTGCTCCCTGTCCTGTTCTGCTTTCTTGTTGGTTTTCCCAAGTGACAGGTGGTGTTGTGTGTCTTTTCAGGAAGAAAAGGAAAAGATGCAGGCACAGAAGGAAGAAGTTCTTAGCCACGTGAATGATGTGCTGGAGAATGAACTCCAATGTATTATTTGCTCAGAATACTTCATTGAAGTAAGTAGGAACAGTGGTTCACCCTTCTCACTCCCAGGCCTGAGTGGTTCCTGCCCCTTTCAGGCTGCTTCTGCTATATGGAAACATTCGGAAGAGATTTTTGTTCCAGGAACTTAGATTGTTTGATTTTAAATGACGTCTAGAGATGACCACTTCTCATTAGGTTATATAGTTTTCTTGCCCTTCACTGTCCTTTTTTCTTCTCAAATATTTTTTAGTACAATCAACATTTTAGCTACAATAAAACCTTTATCTGCTAGTTGTGGGGGAGGACAGGTCCAAGTGGCATTAGGATTTTGAAGTATCAGAAGAAAGCCTCCCAATAAAGCTATTCTTCTTTACTATGCATCACTCTGCTAAACATGGTTTGTAGTGTATAGCCTTTTAAACAGGGTGGTAAATGTCACTGATGTGAGGTCACTTTGGGAATTCAGAGGCCAATTTGAATATATTTCAGGGACTCTCAGAGGTTCCTTTTAAAATGAAACATCTTTCTCTTAGACTACACTTGCTATCCTGTTGTATTTTGCTCCAGCTCATTTAGCTTTCATAAATTTCTACCATTTGTGGCCAGTTCATGTTAGACTACAAGTGTTAAGCTCAGGTTGTTAAATAGCAGTTCTTTTTTAGGCTCCTTTGAAAGGGAAATGCATACACACATTGCTTCCTTTTCTCAGGCAGTCTTTAGGGATGTTGGGTCTATTAACCCGACAAATCTCTCTTGGGCAGGCCTGTTTCTTTTGCTCTGTATCTACTTTGATTTTAAGTCATAATGTCCCACACTTTCTAGTCAGATGATTCCCTGTTGTGGAGAAACTCTGTTCTTTGACAGGGCTGTGGACACCAGTAGAGGAAGATAAGGAGAGGGAGGTGGAATGGGTTGTGAGTTAGTCCAGAGCATCTGCACAGACCTAGAAAAGTCAAATAACTTGACCTTTGTTGCCTGACCTCTAATGTATTCACCTTTTAAAATCAGTCTTAGAAAAATGCTTTGCTGTAATCAGACAAGTTTTTAGTTCTGTTTATGAGAGTTTTATCTCATATAATAGCTTTGTTTTTGAGCTTTTTGGCTTACCTTGGCATTTGAAAAATATATATTTTCTATTAATTTCCACTAAACCTAAAAGCAGGAATGAGGACTTTCTTTTTAATAATGTTTTTTATTAGGATATATTCATTATGAGGGGGATTCATAGTGACAGTTCCGATTAGACTTAACATTGTACATTAGTTACATCACCCCCATCATCTCTCCCCACCCAACTTAAAGCAATTGCAAGAGGTTTCTCCTTCATTCACCCTCCCCTGTCCCACTTGTACCCTCCCCCCCGACACACACACACTGTACCTATTTTACAGTCCTGTCTTTCGTTATTAATATTTAAGATGATGATCAAAGGGGTTTCTCAGTGTATCCCCACTGTGGATATACTTTATTTTGGTCCATTCAGCTCCTTCCATTACTCTCCCTTACCCTTTTACCTCCCACCCCCCTTTTTCAACAGCTTTTAGGAATGAGGACTTGAGCCTCAGAAAAGGTTTTATCTTAGAAGATGTACATAAATATAACTAACAAAGAGAATGTTTTCTATTCTGTGGGCATGAAAAGGGCTCTGACAGAAAGCTGACCAGAAGGGTCACTCAGAAGAGGCCCTGGAACACAGCTTCTTTCTGCTTTCTCTCTTCATAGGTTTATTCACCTAGGAGTCCTAGGTGAGAGGCACTGTCAGTGAATCTGCACAGCTTTTAGTTCCTTTTCACCCAGACTATAGTTAGTGGTCTTTTATATACTACATTATCATCATCATTCCATTTTATTTTATTTTACAGTACTGGGGATTGAACTCATATTTGGTAGGCAAGCCTGAATTACTATCCTCCTCTGCCTCCCAAGTAGCTGGGATCACAGGTGTGTGCCACCATACCTGGCTTTTTTTGTGTGTGTTTGTGACATGGTTTTACTATGTAGCCCAGACTGACCTGGAACTCAGTAGCCCATGCTGGCTTCTAGCTTGCAATCTTCCTGCCTCAGCCTTCTGAGTGCCAGGATTACAGGTATGAACCACCTCACCCAGTGACTCATTACACTTTTTTTAGTCTCTTTAGAGATGATACTGCCTACAATTCAATATATTGAATTGTATATGCTCCCCTTAGAGCATAATTTTGATTAAATTTGAGGTTTCAATTTAGCATTAGCAGGGCATAAATTTGTTTTCCTATAAGAGAATTAGTGAGCTGGGTGCTAGTGGCTGACACGTACAATCCTAGCTACTTGTGAGGCTTGGGAGGCAGAGATCAGGAGGATTACAGTTTGAAGCCAGCCTGGGCAAATAGTTCATGAGACCCTACCCTGAAAATAACTGACACGAAAAAGAGCTGGCAGAGTGGCTCAAGTGGTAGAGCACTTGCCTAGCAAGCCTGAGACCTGGAGTTAAAACCCCAGCACTGCCACCCCCCCACACAAAAAAAGTATTAGTGTTATACTCATACTAATACAGCCTATTCATACATTCTCCTTAAGGCCAATGACATTTGTTTGCAAGGTGGCTAACTCATGTTGGCAGTTAGTAGAACAAAATAGAAAAATCAGCCTACATAGGGCCTGAATCTGTGACTTTGAGTCTGTAACCTTAACTTATTTTATAACCTTTGGGAAAGAAGAAAATGAATCATGTAATATGAAGCTTACCATGGGACTGTGGCTAACTTTCCTTTAGGCCTTGGAAATTAGCTCTTGTTTAGGCTTTGAGGAAGTAAGCATGACAGCTGTGATTTGTACGTTCCCATTTGTGTTGTAGGCTGTCACCTTGAACTGTGCCCACAGTTTCTGCTCCTACTGTATCGGGGAATGGATGAAGCGGAAGGTAGAATGCCCCATTTGTCGGAAGGACATTGAGTCCAAAACCCACTCCCTGGTTCTGGACAATTGCATTGATAAAATGGTGGATAATCTCAGCTCAGAGGTGAAAGAACGACGAATCGTCCTTATAAGGGAACGAAAAGGTGAGTGGGTCTGAGAATCCCTGCTACTCACAAGGGACCAAACTTCAGATTTCCTTTTTTTTTTTTTTTGGTGATGGTGGTGGTATGGATTTGAACTAAAGGCTTTGTACTTACTAAGCAGGCACTATACTACTTGAGCCACCCCCCCAGTTCTTTTTTGTTTTGTTTTGTTTCATTGGAAGAAGTAGGAGAGTAAAGGGAATTCAGATAATTGTGTGAGAAAGAGTTGAGGGTAGAGGGCATGGCTCAAGTGGTAGACAATGCCCTGAGTTAAACTCCCAGTACGACTCCCACAAAAAAAAAAAAAAAAAAAAAGTTGAGGTAGAATGAACCACCACAATTTGACAACAGGGGCTTTTTCACCATTCTCTTTGGTTCTCGCTGCTTGGTATGTCAGTCTGTGCTGTCTGCACACAGTGTTGTCTGTTCACCATTTGCCGTGCCTCAAAAAGTCAGGGAAATCAAGGTTCTTCTGCTGACAAGCAGAAGAGTGCCAAATATGCCAAGATCAAGAAAAACAAGGATAATTTAAATTCACTGTAGCAGATATCCTTACACCTTGGTCATCACAAATGAGAAGGCAGAGAAACTGAAGCAGTCCCTATCCCCAAATTTGGCAGTGAAGGAGCTGAAATGAACAGGACACACTAATTTGAACTGTATTAAAATATTGAAAAGCACAAAAGGAAAAAAGAACTATTTGAACATAGGGGATGTAGGAAGCTTAAATGTGTGTGCCTTGATGTGAGAGGGTGGTAAAAGATGTGACTGGAAAACACAGACCATTTGCTGTGCTGATCACTAGATGGTGCTGTTGTTCAGGACAGCTTAGTTGCTGTCATGTAGGTGGAGTAGACAATTTCAAATAGAATGTATACAAGTCAAAGATTCACAACTGGGAAAATACTTGAAGAAAACACATCTGAGTCACAGTTTAATTAGACATAATGTTGAACCTAAAGAAATAAAAATAGAATCCTTTGTTATCTTTGGGGAATCCTAATGGGTTTACTCAGAAGTCTCCCAGTCAGAATTTGTATAAGAGGATTAGGGAAAGGATGGATGAGTTTCCCTGATGAACTATACTTCCATAGTGAATATCTGGGCTGGTGGAGTGGCTCAAGTGATAAGAGCGCCTGCCTAGCAAGTGTGAAACCCTGAGATCAAATCCCAGTAGTGCTGGGGGGGATAAAAGGTATCATAGTGAATATCTGCTCATTTAAGGCCTGCTATGTTAAGGATTGCAGAGAACCACTCTGCTTGAGACTGGAATGTCTTTCTGGCAAAAGGATGTGCCTTGAGGCAAAGCTCAAAAAAGCTAATGGGGAGGAAGGATTGGTTATTGGGGAGGGATCCTGTGTACATAAAAGCAGGGTAGGTAGATATGGTTAATCATCCTCAGCCCCTTAAAATGATGAAGCACTACCTGTGAAAGCTTCAGACCAGAATGCTGTGGTGTCAATTGGCTGTACATCCTAGGCCCATCAGAGAAAACAAGGAGCTTGCTGTCCTTAAAGGTGCCTCCCTGGCCATTGGAAACACCTGTACATGTATGTCTTTGGTTGTACCTTTAAGTCCAAAGAACTGGAAGGCCTTAAAGACAAACTGCTAAGAATTAGCTCTTTCTTTCCACTGCTTCTTTTCCTCTAGCCCTTCAACAGGTGTTAGCCCCTTTGAGTAGGGCCAGGAATCTGATACTGCAGTGCAAGCAAGTGTGGTATGAAACGGGCCTCAGTTGCTCAGCCCAAATGGAGACAGCCAACTCATCACAGCTGGGTAGTGTGGGTGCTAAACAGGAAGTGGTCTCAGGTAGTTAGGCCCAGAGAATGGGAGGTTGAGGCGGCCTTCGGTCAGTTCTTTGGAACCACAGTGTTTCCCACTTCTCTGACAGCTGTGTGCCATTGGATCTTCTGCCCAGTTTTGACATCCCCAGATGATCACCTAGAAGCCACTTGATGGTGGCAGAATCCCATTGCTGTTCGTTTCCACCTCCTGTCATTCCATAGGAACACTACTGTAGACATGGGGGTAAAGGGCAAAATACAGCATCAGCTCAGCAGTCACAGAACCTAGTATCTGGTGGAGAAGACAGAACGGCAAGGAGACTGTGTAATGGGTTCCACAGCGCTGTGCTGTGGAACTTCAGAGGAGGGGCCAGTTGATCTGGCTTAGGCAGATGGAGGTGTGGGAGAAAACTCCACAGAGGAAGTGACATTTGAGCTGAGCCTGTTGGGTCCCTGGGTGTTAGTTTTCCAAGCAGAGGGAACTGCACAAGCAAAGCACCCAGACATGAGAGAGCAGTGGCCTCCTCCCCCTTTTAGAAGATACCATATTCGCATGGTATAGGCTTGCAGGACAGAGCCAAGGCTTACAGTATCTACTCAGTGCTCTCTCCTTTCTTCCATTTCCTTTCTGAGATGAGCAGTGACTCGGGAATCTGATCAGGATCATGTTAGGACCTTTAAACTAAAGTGTGCTGGGAGCTGACTGGTGGCAGAGTGCGTGCCCAGCAGGCATGAGGCCCTGAGCTCAGACCCCAGCACCGTAATAAATAAACGTGTACTGCGTCTGTGTCAGGGTGAGGGACACTGGGTGGGAACCACTGCCTAGGTTTCTTCTCACCAGTCCAAGTACAGCAGGTGACTTCAGAAAGCATTGGGAAGGGAAAGAAGAGCCCTGCGTCCTAAGTCCACCTGTGTCCCCTTACACAGAGTCACTTTTACACAGTAAATGCCAGCACCCCACCTTCTCTCCAAAGTCTGAAGCGGGTGCCTCTTGGCTTTTTTGGCAACCGTGGTGTGTTTGGGAGGTTTTCACAGGAAACAGAATCAGCTTCCTCATTGCATGCACTTGCTCAGAAGAGTTCTGGCAACCATTTCAGCTTCTGGAGTTATCACAGCCAGTGCAGCTTTGAAGTTTTCTCTAGAGATAGTCAGAAGGTTCTGAGACCTGATTTAGGAAAAGATGTGCCAGAGCCATCAGCAGTTTGTCTGGGCTGCAGTGTGGGGTTTAGAGAAAAATTCTCAGTTCAAATAACAACCCTACTTGCATGTTTCAGGGCCAGTTGAAAACTGGTTTAATTCTTAGTGCATGGGAATTTTTTTTAAGAGGACCAGATTGAGGATTTGGAAACGAGGATTGGCAAGCATTTGGTTGTCAGTTCTGATGCTCTGGCCAGGCTCTGGGCAAGGATTGCTCTTACCAGCAATTCAGAGAGGGAGACTTGCCTGCCTTTGACAGTCCATGCAGATAAGCCTGTGCTCTGATTTCACTAAGAGCAGTCCCCCTCCTAGGCCTCTTTGGCTGGTGGTGTCTCAGAAGTTCCATATCTCACGGGGAGGAGTAGCACGTCATTACTTGAGTTCCAGGACCGGAACTCATAAACTGAGGCCACAGGAGAGGAAGGGCATCAGGATGCTGGATTCTGAGTTGGAGAAAGGATTCTCCAGAGCTGGATGGATAACACATTCAGACAAAAGTTTTGTTGCATGAATAATCGTGGCTGTCTGGAATATTGACGTAAAATTCTTACGAGGGGAAGAGGTTTTTGGAAATAGCCTATTGGGGAGCTGGTGAGGTGGGGCAGTGTCTTCTGCCAGCTACTCCTTTCCCCCATTTCTTCTGTTCTGGTCCATGTGAACTGTTAAGCATGTTAACAGTCTTTTTGCTTTCCTTAGCAGTTCCTTTGGGTTGGGTTCAGAAAAAAAAAAGCAGGGCTGGAGATACAAGTCAGTGGTAGAGACTTGCCTAGCATGCACAAAGCAGCCCTGGGTTGATCCCAGCACCAAAAAAAAAAAAATCTGGACCCAAAGTCTCGTTGGTTCTTTGGGATTTTCAACATAGGCTTTGTACTACATTCTCCTGCTCCCTTGCTATTATTATACTGAATTGAGGCTACTAATGAGAGTGTTGGCATGGCCTTTAGAATGCTGAGGTGGGGAGAAGAGTTTGTGAATCTGTGAGGTAGAGGCTTCTCCAGAGTTGAGGGTTTCTGGGAAGATCACCCAGATTAGACACACCGGCCTGTGGTTCTTTGCAGCTTCCTGCAGGCTAAGAGGAAGACACGGTACAGGAGAAACTGACAGGATCAGGCTCTGAAGAGTATCTTGCTCCCATGGTAGTCTTCCTCTGATATTGCCCTTCCTCCTTTGCTGGAAGACAGAGTCTTTGAAAGGAGCGTTGGGGGAATGGCGGCAAGGTTTCTGGCAGACCGAACCCACCCAGAGAGAATACTTGTTGAAAGGTACCTTTGTTTTGTTTTTTTCCTACCATGCTGGGGATGGAACCCAGGGCCTCCTGTATGCCAGGCAAATGGTCTATCATTGAGCTACTTCTGTCTCCGTCCTCAAGGACCGTGGAGGAACATGTGCATGCCGTGTGCAGCCTTCCTGCCTTGTCTCTGGAGACCACCGCCTGAGGGAAATGGCTCAGCAGAGTCAGGGTGGGTCAGGGCGTCCACATGCATTCTCTCAAATAGTGCATAGCATGACTCTGAACTTTTGATTTTTAAAAACTTATGCTTTGCAAAATTACCATGGGACAGAAAGTTAACAGGTTTGTTACTAGGAGCCCTTTTCTTATGTCTCCACTGTCACTTACTTCCGTTCTTTTTCCTTCTCTGCATTTGTCTTCTGTTGTCCTCCTTCTCTGATCATCAAAATGGGGTTTTCCTCAGTTTAATTTCTTTCCCTCATCACCCTGAGATATCCCTTATTTACCATCTGAGAATACACAGTGTGACATGACCAGGGCATCTCAGGAACTGTGTGACTGTCCTCTTGGTGGAGGTCAGCTGTGGGATTAACTGGAATTTGTAAAGTAGCAACCCAGAAGGTCCTAGGACCTTGAGTTCCTTGTTGACTCTGTGCTGTTTGTGATTTCTTTGTATCTAGAGGTTAGAAAGCTGTTCCTGACCTTAGGTCTCTGCAATAGGGTGGGGGAGGGAGTCTTCTCCTTTTTGTCAAAAGCTGCTGCCACATTGCAGCACCTGAAAAAGCTTCCACGGTTTAGTTTAGCTTCCCAGGTGCTAGTAGCCCTCCTTTGCACCCCAAATACATCGACTGTGGAGTTTGAGGTCCACTTCATCTTTAAATATGCCTTGAGCAGCCCAGTGCAGGAGAGTCCTGAGGTGAAGATCAGGACTTGCTGGCCCAGTTGGAATCCTGGGATCCTGTTGCTGCTGGAGGCTGCGAGGGCAGTGCTGTCAGCCCCAGCACCCTGCATGCCCACTGGGGGGCCAGCTTTGAGCAGAGAATGCAATGACCTGGTTTCTGTTTTCTCTCTTCACTCTGGTTGCTGTGGGGCAGAGACTGAGGGTGACAAGAAAACAGGGAGGACAGGGAAGGGAATACAGGCTCCTCCTTCATTTCTTTTTCTTTCTCTCCAAAGCAAAGAGTCTGTCATGAAGTGCGTGCGCTAAATGCATTTGAAAGACTCGGAGGAGATAGGAGCTTGTGATGGTCTGGAGGATTCTCTGTGAGTATGACTTGGGCCTCTCTGGAGATCATCTGAGAAGCTGTGTGGGACAGAGACTGAGTTGGGAGGCCCCGGTCGTGTTCGGGGATGGCCAGCCCTGCTGCATCATTGAAGCACAGCTGGGACTCTCACGCTCACTGCTTCAGGGCACTTCACTACATGTTCAGCGGATTGAGTTGGGTGGGTTTTTTTGTTTTGTTTTGTTTTTTTTCCTTTTTTTGTTAGCATTTTTTGATACCTCAGAAGCACCTCTCTTGATGTTCATTTGAACAGTTGGGTGTACCCCATGGCTGCCCCTGAAGGCAGACTGTATTTTGAATCTAGCTTACCTCTTCTTTGTGAAAACAAAATGTCATTTCTTGGAAATAAAATGTAAAACCTATTGGTTGCTCAGCTGGGCTTTGGTTGTATTTACCTTCCTTTCCTTCCAGCTCCTAGGCAGTCTCACAAGTAAACACTGGCAGCTCATAGATTACAACAAAATGACTGTATCAGATGATAGACTTCAAGTGAATGTCAGCCTGGCAAGCCCAAGGTCATGGTCACACAGGTGGGCTCAGTCGTGTTCCCTTTTTATTCCTGAGATGGGGTCACTGCTTGCCTTGTTTTGGGGTGGGGGGAATTCCTTTCCTCAGCTGCTGTTCTCATGTTTCCAGATTTCCAAAGCAATGTCATGAACACGCATCAACCGTGGACGATGATTTTATGAGAACTTGAATTAAAAGTCCCTCTTTTGACCACTTTCCCTTTTTAAACAGAAAAAAACAGTTTGGGGGCTGGCAGCGTGGCTCAAGTGGCAAAGTACCTGCCTAGCAGGTATGAGGCCTTGAATTCAAACCCCAGTACCACCAAGAAAGAAAAAAGAAAAGCCAGTTTTGGTGTTTAGTAAGTAAAAGCTTTGGGCAACCTATGGTATCATTGGTTACCTGTGATGTGCATGAGGGAAAATAAACAGGGATTGAAGAGTGGTCTTTTAAAACTGAGAGCCCCTCTTCCTAGTAGGACTGTAAAACTCCATTTTATCACTTAATGATTTTCTCCCCTCTCCCTTTTATTGTCTTGTCTAGAGAACCATTCTATTTTAGCTCTTTATACCCTTTGTAGTTTCATAAATGGTTGGAAACTATTGATTTGCCAACTTTTTAGGGATGGTATGAGGTTTTCTTTCATTGGGTATACTCTGAACACTCCAGTTGTGGAGTCCCTAATCTAATTTTCATCTTTCTCCACATGACTTCTGATTGAAATTCTGGTATATGGCTGAGGATGTAGCTCAGTGGTAGAGCACTTGACTAGCATGTGTGTGAGGCCCCGGTTCCATTCCCAGCACTGCAGGCAAAGAAAAAAGAAATACATAATTACATTGTAAAAACTCTGAACAAAACAAGAAAATGACTGTTATCACCTTGATGTAATGGCTTCCTGTTTCCCTACACATGTATTTAATTCACTTGATTGCATGGATAATAGCTAAGGTTTTATATATTCTGTCTTAAGTTCACATATTGTAATTTACTCTTAAGAGTACAGGTACACCTTTTGTGACTGGGTAATATGTTTTGATGTTTTGAAATCAAAAGGCATAAGAAGACACAATAAAAAGCTGCTCACTCCTTTCCCCAGTGACCCCTCACAGGCAGCGAGAGTTACAGTTCCCCATCTGCCCTTCCAGAGACCTTGTCTGAATATACGAGCAAATGCACTTGTCTTCTCCATTCTCTCAAGTGAATGATAAACTGCGTGCTACTCTGTACCTTCTTGTCTTTCAGATATAGTTTGGCAGTACTCCTGTGTCAGTACATAAAGAACTCTTCTTTTTTTCTTACAGCTGAAATTATTTCATTGTGTGTTAACACTGTGATTTGCTTTTCCAGCCTAGTTTTTGCTTTTTTCTTTTTTGGTGGTGGGATTGAACCCAGGGCCTTGTGCGTGCAAGCATGTACTCTACCACTGAGCTACCCTCCTCGCACTCCAGCCTGATTCTGGTAGAATTTAGCTTGCTATGGACACCCGTGACCATACATCGTTAAAGAAAGATCCCTCAAGAACACTTGACTTAAAGAGGGTGAAGGTGTCTGCAAAGACTGACCTCACAGACTGACCTTCCCAGCATGCAGCCTCTCCTTTTAGAACACCACCTCCCTCAAGTATGCCATAGATTGAGAAACTGAGCTCGGAAAGAATACTAAATCAATTAAAATTAAAAGTCATACTAGCTGGATTTGAATCCTAGTCCTGCTGCTTGTGAACTTAGGCAAGTTACTGAACTCTTTGAGCCTTGGTGTCTTCATCTTCATCTCTAAGTGGATCTCCGTATCTAAATTATTGCAGCAAAGTAGGCCTAAATAATTTTGTCCCAGTTATTGCACTGCTCACAAACAAAAGCCATAATGTAGCTGACCATGGTCACACACTGTAACCAAGAACTGTGGAGGTGAAGTTAGGAAATTGTGAGTTCAAGACCAGCTGGGCCGTGTAGTGAGTTCACAGCCAGAATCTTGCTATGTAGCCCAGGTTGGTCAGGAACTCGCAAACCACCTGTCTCAGTCACCCGAGTACTGGGATTACAAGCATGGACCACTACACCAGCTCAGAATGTTCTGTTTTTAAAGACACACATGCACACACAAGATTAACCCAAACTTGCATTATTTCTCTGAGCTACAGGATGTACCTTCCCTGGAGAGATAATCTCATATTAAACATCATCTGCATTTTGCTTGCCTAGAAAAATACATGGTAACTTTTCTGCCTTGCAGCACCAAATGACAGTATAGCTGAGCCCCACTGCTGTGCTGTCTGCCTCTAATTAAAGGCATGTTCTGTGCATCAGGGCTCAGAGAAACTGGGGAGGGAGTGTTTGTTTCACATTCTGGCTTTATTAAGCAGATAAATGCAGCCAGCTCTGTGAGGCGCTTTGCAGTGAGTGGCAGGTGTCCCACTGCCATCCAGTTACTGCAGCCTAGGAAGAGTGCACTCTGCCCCTCGGCTTGCTTCATCCCAGCAATCAGATTGCTGAGGCAGGGAATGCCCTTTGTGGACTAGATAGCTGGGTCCTTGTCATCTGTCTCTGATTGGGAGCTGCTGTTTTTTTATCTAAAAAAAAAAAAACAAAATCCCCTCATTATCTCTGGCCTGTCTCTCATTACTCCTCTCCTCTGAGTGACCATCTGAGCAGTAACAACTGCAGGAGTGTGTAGGATGGGCAGCTCTCTCCAACTGCCTGCTTGCTTTTTATAGCCTTACTCTAACTGAAAAATCTCACCCCACAAACAAGAAACCTGGGGTTGTCTGAGTCTGCCTGGTATGTTCATCTGACATTCATTCCACCAGATTGCAGGTGAATCATCTGATCAGCTCTATTTGATGTAGAGACTTAGAAAGGAATCTCTAACTTGATTGTGGTCCTAATCTAAGAACCTAAGATCAGGAGAACCCAGGAATCACTGTCTCTTGCCAGACTCACAGCTTCTTAAGTAAGAGGTACAGGCCTGATTGGAGCAGAATGGTGCCTTAGCCACAGTAGGCCAAAGGATTCTTCTGAACACTGGAGTGCTTCATTCAGAGAAAAAAACTTTATCTGCTCAATATTTTTTAGCTTTTTCTGCAAATGGGATTTGAGGCAGTTGGAGTAGCCAGCTCCTGGGAAGACGATGGGGCCTTTGTGTTGCTGAAAAATAATGAGCTATCATGTTCAGTTGGTTTTTCAGTTTAGATAACCCTACAGGGACCAAGCATGGTGGTGCATGTGTCTGTGATCCCAGCTACACGGGAGGAAGAGGTGTGAGGATCAAGGTCCAAGGCCACCCCAAGACCTTATCTGAAAAATAACTAAAAGCAAGGCCCTGCATTCAAACTTCAGTACCATTAAAAAAAAAAAGAGAGAGAGAAGAAAAGCCTATGGTAGGAAAGGGTTGGACCTGTAATAGGTGCTCAGCAAATCCTTAGATGCTATAATTCCTTTGTTGACCACGTCGCCATGATGGGCCACCTGAACTCATTTAATCTCCAGGATGTGTTTCCTGCTTGCTGCTGCTTCTATCAAATTCTAGAGTGGATCCCTCCCTCAGATCCAGTTTCCAGACCCACTGCCCCTGGTGTCCATTTCCCTTTCTTTGGGCTTTGTGTGAATACTTCAATCTGGTGTGCCTTTTTTTTTTTTTGTTTCGTTTCTTGATCATACAGTGTGGTGTTCCAATAAATTCAATTCAGTAATAGTTACTGAATCTTTGTTTTGTTTTGTTAGCACTGCTGCAGGTGTTTGGAGTGGTAATGAACAAAACAAAAAAGCTGTTGAGAGCAGACATTCTAGCAAGGGGTCCAAAGGCCAGAGGCTGCTCTCGGAGGTTCTCTCCTTCCTTGGCCTGTCTGCTAAGCCAGCATGTAGTACTGAATGTTTCCTTACATTCCTCAAACTCCAGGCAGCAAAGCCTGCAGGCCACACCCAGCCACCCCAAATCCAAAACTGGCTTTTCACACCTGTGTATCCTGAGGCTTTAAAGTCTGCTGCTCTTACCTCCCCTTGGAATATAGGAACTAAGCTCCTTAAAGAGCGAGACCCCAGCCAGGAGCCGTCAAGGGCTTCTCTGTGGCAAGCTGAGACCCTCTGCAGGAAGAACAGGCCCCGAACCACTACATCCTATAGTCCTGTGCCAGCAGGTACCAGAGGACCTCTGAGGAAGGCTCAGGTGACTACTTCAGCAAGGTAGACACAGCTGAACATTGCTGAAGTGACTGTTGACACAAGAGCTTAATCTGGCGATGCAGGGCTGCACAGGTTTTCAGGACTCTTGGGATTTTTTGAGTATATATGTGGCCATGAGGATATTCCTCTGACCTCAGTGCCCCATGTCTCGGATCCTGACCTCCCTACCTGAGCCTCTCCCAGGGGTGCACTGGCTCCCAAAAGCCGACTGTATGCATCCCTTCCCAAATGCATTCAGGGAGGTCATGGTAGTTTAAAATTAGCCATGGTAGCTGTATTTACGCCATAGAAGCTGCCAAATGCTACAGATCACGGCCTCCCCATTCTTTGTTAAACATTTGCCAGGACATCACAGGCGTCCTTGACATGAGTGGTTCCTGAAGTCACCTAGCCCCACGGCTCAGGAATTGCCCCAGGATGGAAGAAGTGCCACTACAGAGACAAGGAAAACATGCCTTCCCCCAACTCTAGGTCATCCTCAGGCATCTGAGGGATCCCCAGTGCCTTCTGAACCCCGCCTCTCAACAAAATAGTGCATAGCTCCCGAGGCCCAGACCCATCCCAGGCTGGGGAAAAGATGTATGTCAAGGCACCCTGTGTATCTCCCATTTCCTTCTTCACTTACCTGAGTCCTCATAGCCATCAGTGAGATCAGCTAGATGCTGGTAAGGAGGGGTGCAGCCACTACCAGCAGTTTTCTTGTGTTCCATTACACCTCAAGCCATCTTCTTACCAAAACCTTAACAGCGTGGGAATGGACCCTGTGGCCAGGGTCGGGACCTGCCTCAGTGCTGGAGCCTTAGTGGTAGACGGCGTGAACTACACTTTATCCAAATACATGTGAGTCTGGATATTAGCCCTCTCTCTCCTGGGATACTAGGTTCTCACCCAGGGGATTCCCACCATGCAAGCCAGCTCTGGCTTCTTCCAGCATGGGCACAAGTGGTTCTCGGTAGTTTCCTCTCTTTTGGGAAAAATCCCAAGCATGCTATGACCTGGGAGCTAGCTGCTTTTGATTCAAAGGTCCCAATGTAGGGGCCTGAGGGCCAACCTTGTGAGCAGACATCTCAGCGAATTTAGCTAGTCTCGTGATTTGTTTCTAAGTGTGTAACCCTCACAAAGCAGCAGTGGCTGTCTTACTCCCATCTGAAAAGCCTCACCCTTCTGGCACAGATCCTGAAGTTTAGGGAGTGGAAATGGAGTGCCTGCCTGAGGGTGCAGGTCTGCTGTCTTCCCTCTGCCCCTTTGCCCCTCTGGAGTTACCCAACTCCTAAGGAGAACTTAGCTCATGAACTGCTGGAGGAAGAGTCCTCAGCATTCATTTGTTCCATGAGTGCCTACTAAGTGCTTCCACATGCCAGGCACTTCGCTGACCTCAGTGCTAGGTACTCATGTTACAACACTAAAAAGGCTGAACGCAGTCCCTGACCTGATGGAAATTCTGCTGTGGCGAACACAGAAAAACAAGATTTCAATCAGGAGTAGACCTGGGAACCATGAAAGCATGGAGGTAAGGCACCTGTCCCAGGCTGAGCAGTGGAGAAGGCTTCTTGGAGCATGTGACATCTAAACTGCGACTTGAAGGATGGTAGGGGGCAGCAGAATAAGGATGAGAACAGGGTAGGACTGGGGAGGGGCAAGGAACAATGTCCTGGGTGGAGAGAAAGGGAGAGGCATGGAGGTGGAGGAGAATGGCATGCATTCTGTGTGTCTGGATCAAGGAGTGCAGGGAGAGAAGCGAAGATGCGAGTTATTATCACAGGCTTTGTAACCATTGTGAGCCACTGTGAGCAGCACCTCTGACGAGTGGACTCAACCGCCATTATCAAGACACTTGCAATGGGAGATTAAGTAACATGCCTACGGCCACACAGATTGATGGAGAAAATGAAGCTGGAGAAGGAACTTCTCCAAGAGGGAAGTCACTGTGTCATAATAGTGGGGAGTGCCATTTTTCTGTGTTTTAGGAAGATGGCTCTGGCTGCTGTGTGGAAGATGAGCTAGAAGGGGGAAAGCCAAGAGGATTGAGGGAGACCTCCCAGGCAGTTGCAGTAATCCGAGGAAGAGGGTAGGTGGCCTGAATTAAGGCACTGAGTGGGGCTGGAGACAGATAGGGAGTTCATAGATCGATTTGGGGGGGAGGGAGAGCCTGGAGTTAAGGGTGGCCATGGGTCTCTGCCTTGGGCCAAAATCTCGGTGGTGTTCATTGAAATAACACAGGACCAGGCTCTGGTGGCTCACGCCTGCAATCCTAGCTACTCAGGAGGCAGAGATGAGGAGGATCACGGTTTGAGGCCAGCCCGGGCAAATAGCTTGCAAGATCCTATCCAAAAACAAAACAAAACACACACAAAAAGGGGCTGGTAGAGTGGCTCAAGTGGTAGAGAGCCTGTCTAGCAAGGGTGAAACCCTGAGTTCCAACTCCATTACCTCCACAAAAAAGAAATAACACAGGAAGAGGAAGGTTTCTAGGTTTTGGGGACTGTCAAGTTTGAAGATTCAGAAAAGAAAATTGCATAGATGTCTACAAAGTGCTAATTTCCATGCTCTCTCTACCGTCCACACAAAGTTCAGTTTTCCCCACCGTCTCCTGGATATCCTCCATAGCAGTGGCTACAAGTCGCTGAACAGCCCTGGACGAGGGAGCTTTGCAAGCTTTCTCTTCCACAGAGCCAAAGGCCAGTTGTCCCACCGTATGCTATCAGACCCAGCTCTGCTCCACCATGCACTCAATAGAGATGGTGGAGCTAAATATTCTCTGGTGACTGGGAGCATGGCTCAAGTGATAGAGCCCCTGCCTGACAAGCCCAAGGCCCTGAGTTCAAACCTCAGTACTGCTAAAAAAATATATATATATATTTGCTGGCCTGGGCACAAGTGCTGCGCAGGCGAACTATTGCTTCAAGCCCTGTGGAAGGGTAAGCTGTGAACAAATTCACAAGCGATGTCTACCCAAGAAAGCACTGTGGTCGACGTCTGTGGCAAGTGCCCCATTATGTCACCTTCTGAAATCCTGCCCATATCAGGACATGAAGCTTTTTCTACTGTGTGATCCAGGACTTGGTGTCCATCGTAAGGATTTTGTGACTTCTCAACAGAAAGTCCAGAGGTGACAGACAGGCTGGGGATCCAGATGAGGGACTTACAGGATCATGAGAGAGGGTGAAATCACCCAGGGCGAGTAGGCAGAGAGAACAATTACCCGACAGAACCCCGAGGGAAACCTCCAGAGACCAGAAGAGGGTAGGGCAATCACAGTAATTAACTTTCTATGTCACCTTGACTTGGGGGGACATCCAGACATTTGGTCAAACTTATCCTGGGTCTGGCAGGGTGTTTCCAGTTTAGAGTAACGTTTGAATGAAAATATCATTCTAACACAGACTGTGTTCTGACAACGAGACGGGAGGGGATGGCAAAGCAGAGAGATAAAACTTAAAGAATTGAAACGTGAAGATCACATAAGCACTAGGGAGATGAAATAGCCAATGAAGTCACATGCAGCCATATGTGGGTTGAGCTTTGCTTTCTGCTTCTGTAACCTGCTTGCAAGGGTATATAAGGGGAGACCCCTTTGTTTTCGGGGCTCAGCCTTTGGACACGAGTCCGCTGGGTCTGTGCCGGCACAGTAAACGTTGCTTCCTGCTAAACTGCCTCATAATATCCCGCAACATAACAAGAGTGGGCCCACTCCAGTCAGTTGAAGGCCTCAGTAAAACAGGAGGACTGATCCTCTAGCACAGAAAGGGCACTTCCTCTCACTGCCTTGAGCTGGGACTTGTTTTTGTCCTTCCTTTAACTCAACTGAAACATCAGCTCTTCTTGGGCCTCAGGCTTTTTGACTGGAACTACACCGTCAGCTCTCCTGTGGCTTCAGTTTGGGATTTGTCAGCCTGCGTAATTGCCTGATTCCTTATAATAAACTCTCACCATATACATTTCTATCCACAGACACCAGTAGTTTGACTAATACAGCAAAATAGTGCTTCAGGAAGTAGGAAACACAGGGCCAAAGGTTGCAGATTGGTGAAGGAAGATAAGATCCAAAAATATCAATGGTTGAGCTACCACAGAGCCACTGGGACAGCAGTTTTAGTGGCATTCTGTGGGCAGAGTGACCATTTACATTAGTGAATTGAGAAATAGGACTTGCTGCTGGGCACTCACTCCTATAATCCTAGCTACTCAGGAGGCAGAGATCAGGTGGATGACAGTTCAAAGCCAGCCTAGGAAAGTACTTTGTAAGACCTTATCTTGAAAAAATACCCATCACAAAAAAAGGGCTGGTGGAGTGGCTCAAGTGGTAGAACTCCTGCCTAGCAAGTATGAGGCCCTGAGTTCGAAACCCCAGTGTCACCAAAAGAAAAAAAGAAAGAACTAGGACTTGCTATATTTTAGGAGCAGAGAAGGGAAAAAATGCAGATAGAAGGAAAAGTC